GAAGCACTGCACAGCGCTCCGTCTCGCTGTTTTAGCTTGGGGTTAGCTGCGCAAAGCCTCCGCAGGGCAGCGGGGTGCCTTCACCCCGCTGCCCTGCGGAGGCTACAAAGGCTGTACGAAGGTGGGGGGAAGGCTGCAGCGCTTCCCCCCACCGCCAGCCCCACAAGTTCGGGGGCAGCGGGAAGGCGGCGCACCGCCTCTGCGCTGCTCCTCGACCTGGTTTGGAGGCTGGCGGTGGGGGAAAGCAGCGCTTCCCCCCACCGCCAGCCCCACAAGCTCGGGGGCAGCGGGAAGGCGGTGCGCCACCTCTGTGCTGTTCCCCGACCTGGTTTTGAGGCTGGCGGTGGGGGAAAGCAGCCCTTCGCCCCACTGCCAGCCCCAAAGAGCAGGTCGAAAGGAACCCAAAGCCTCCGGAGCCCAGCGGGAACTCCTGCTGGGCTCTGGAGGTTTCGGGTGAACGCACAGAACGCACCTTGTTTTAGAGGGGGAGAACCCTCCTATGATCTGGTGCGTCCTATGGTCCGGTGCGTCCTATAGAATGAAAAATGCGGCAAAGTTACTGGGTAATCTCTAAATATGGCAGTGGGCTATCAGAAGGGAATCTGTCAGTAGAAAAGGGAAGGAGACATTTCAGGGATCCTCCCATCACCCCTCCTAAATCTGCTTCAGAGAGTCCCACGAATTGATTCCCTCCTGCCTAAGGACAATCACCACTGGATACACTGATCTTGACATTAGTAGCCTCAGGCCATGTAGAAAACTTGGCAGTTAACAGATTACCTTTTCTCTAGGTATTGAGAGGGTGTGGTGGCCCTTGTCATTTCATGTCCATATGCTGCACCTTTCCATTCAGTAAGTTTTTTAAAATAGCTTCTGCACAGCTATTGATGTCTCATTTGTCTCTTCTTGATAACAATGGGCATTATTGAATTTTTAGTTCAAGGAACTGGGTTGATTGCCAGCCAAGCACAAAAACTTGTTGGTGGGTCTGAATCTGGATACCATAGCCATTACAAAGCAAGCCATTTTTAATCCTGCATGTCTTTTTCCACCCCTCAGTTGTAGGAAAAGTCTTAGAAATTACTGAACTGCCAGAAGGAATAACTCGTGCAGAAGCTGAAAAATTATTTGTGGAACTTCTTAAAGTTGGTGCCAAGATTCGGTGGCTACGGGATCCCCAGTTCCTACAGGTGCAACAGCAGCAACACCATCACTACTGTGGTAGTGGAGATAGTAATGTGAACGCTGAACCTTCCAAACTTAGTGACTTGGCATCTACGTACACGGTTCTAGCAACGTTTCCAACCATGTCTGCAGCCCAAAATGCATTGAAGAAACAAAGTAATTCACTGAACAAGTTTAGGCTGAGAACAAGCAAGAAGCACTACGACTTTCACATTCTGGAAAGGGCTAGTTCTCAGTAACAGCCACGTCATTGAACATTCAGCCTTTATCGCTTCCATGTCCTTATCTCCTCTACTTGATTGGCTTGATGTTTATGGGTTTTTGTTGTCTTCATAAAAGACTCCTTGGATGTCATGTGACAGTAAAGCCTTTGAAGAAAATAAGCCCAGTGATCCAGGAGAAGATGCAGAAATAAACACGCAATTTAAATCATCAACAACAAAGTAAAATACTGCTGTGATGTGAAACGGACAGGCAGCCTTCTCTGAAGAATGCTGTTGAAAACACCCCTTTTGTAGTAGTTTCGTTTTATATTTCTGAATTCTTGTATCAGATCCAAAGCTCTGTTGTACAGCGAACTTTTGTTCATAAGGAAAAACCATATTCTTACGTGTATTTTGTAATCCCTTTGCACACAGCCAGCACACTTCTATCAGTTTAAGGGCAGTGATCTGGGGGAGGGAGGGAAAGAGAAACGCTCCTAAGGAATTTCACTGTGGTTCTAGCCCAGTATGCCAAAGGGCAAGGAAGGTAGCATATTTCTCTCCCCCTCTGTTCCTCTTCCAAGGGTAATGGAATCCAACAATAACTACTGAAGACCTTCTCCAGTCCTGCCGTTTCAAGATTTACTTTAGAGATGTGAACCTTTAACTGCCAATAAATTATATTCCTGAGCAGCTTGCTTCTGTTCCATCAGGATAAGTATTAAAAGGGGGGAAACACTGCAGAAAATTTTTAACTGGAGCCCATTAGTTTTTAATACACAGTGAGGAAATTAAATGTGACTCCCCCAAATGGCAAAAAAGTAAAAAAAAAGTTTGCACTTTAATTGTGTTCCCATTGATATAGTTTTCTTTTCTTTTTTTACTGTAAGAGTAATCGCATTTGATAAGTGCTGGAAACTTCTTAAGTGGTTTAAATATGTTTTTTCATCATTTGTAGAGGATCACTGGACATCAAATGATTCATTGCACATATAAAGGAGACACCTTTTCAATTTCTGTATAATTTGCAAGGCTGTACAATGTGTGCTGATGCAAGCCTTTCTTCAGTTTGGAAAAAAAATAAATGTTTACAAGTACAAGTTTTCCGGTGTACTTTTTTTGTGAGCTTGAAAGAAATGAACATATTTCATATTTATCACATAAGGCAGTTGTAGATAGTCATAGCAGGCATCCTTAAGCAGTGGAGGGTACTGGACTGGACTTCAGCATAAGGTGAGACTTCGATTAAATTGAATTAGTTCTGGCCATAAATAGCGAAAGTAAGATCTTAGCAGCAAAGTCATACAATGCACATTCTGTGCACAATTACTTGGAACTAAATTACAGTGGTACCTCTGGTTGCGAATGGCATCCGTTCCGGAGGCCCGTTTGCAACATGAAAAGAGTGCAACCTGAAGTGCCATATCTGCAGGTGCGCAGAACGATTTGGGGTTTATGCGCGAAACGCGATTTAGCCCTTCTGTGCATGCGCGAGTGACGAAACCCAGAAGTAACCCTTTCCGGTACTTCCGGGTCGCTGCTGGACGTAACCTGAAAGAACGTAACATGAAGCAAACGTAACATGAGGTATGACTGTACATTAAGTTTAGTGGGATAATCTATGGTGGGTTTACAGCTTTAATGTAAAAACCTTTGTTGTAATCAGCATCTCTTCGACTAATTCCACTTTCTGATAGTTTCTCTGTTCCACACTACTCTTCCTCCTCCTGAAATCACAGTGGCATTAAATGAATCATGGAGATAAACGGTGGAATATGGTGCTGAACAAAAAAAGTTGTCAAATCCACTTTTATGGCATACAAAACGGCAGTACAACCTTGGCTACAGTCGATTTGGTCCGGGAAACTGCCTGGGTGGAAGACTGATGAGGAACGAGTTACAAACTGCTAAATAGAAAGTAGGATTTAATTGTTAGCAGTAAAATGATAAGCTGCCCAGCCAAATGCAACCACAGTGCATCAGTTAGCCATTTTATTCTGTACGATGGGTGGTGAAATTAGTGCCTTCCAGATGTATTTATAACTCCTATTAGCTGCAGCCAGCATGACCAATAGTCGGATCAAGGGAGCTGTAGTCCAGCGGCCATTGCTGCTACACAAGATTAGCCCATACAAGTGGAGTTATGAGGAGGAAATTGTTCGGATTGTCGATTCAGATAATAGATTGGCAGAAATTTATATTAGGTGGCTAAGTACTGAGAAAATATCATATTCAGGAGATAGTGTTGTCCTTAAACTCATATTAAGGACTTAATTTGTTGAGGCAGGTTCTTAGTGCATACTGCCTATTAATGCCATTTCCTCAAAGTATAACAAAGCATTTTAATACAGAGTTAGCACGCTATATTTTTTAGATTGGCAGCCAGCATTTTTAGCCTACTTAAAAGTGCAGGTGTTGCATTATGGGTTGTATCTTCCAGACAGCTGGTCTGCCAATAGCATGTTTTTGTTTGAGTTGTCATTCGCAAATACAGTGGCAAACTCATTTATTAGAGCCAAGATTGGTCTTGTGCCTGGTTTTCACTATTAGTATAACTACTAAAATGCCTCAAGGACACAAGAAGCCACTGTACCTATCTCATTAGACTGCCATCTGCCTTTACTTGAGTTTTTAGTGTCTGGAAAAAACAGCTACATAAAAAGCAATGAGTGCAGCTCAATCTTTATACATGTTTACTCAAAAGCAAATACTCTTAAGCTCTGTAAGGCCTAAGTTCCTCTCACACCCCAAAAACAAGAGTGTTGCAGCCTTTGATATTAGGAAGCTAATAAGTTTGTTGGTGAGATGAGTACATAATTGTTTAGAAGTTTTATCCTACCTGTCCAGATGCATTTACAATTTCAATAAAAAGGCAGCTGTAATCATAAAAAGCAGCTAAATTCTAGAGATACCAAAAGGCCTTTGTAGGAACATTTTTGGCTAGCACACTTGTATGAAAATCAGTGGAATGTTTAAGTAATTTTTCTTGTGAGAAACAAAGCCCATAAAGTCTGCTTTGTTTTAAACGTTTGTAACTTTCCAGATCTTAGTTCTATTTATTAAATAGGTATACTGTATAAACAAACCCTACATCTTGCAACAGATAGACTTGGAGATTTAAATAGCTGCCACTTGATTTGTGCTTGGTTCGCATTAGCAAAAAAAATCATTCAGTGTTGCATAAAAATCAAGTGTTTTTTATTTGACACGTTCACTTTTCAGCCAATACCACGGTGCAGTTTTGAGTACCTCACCTACAAAATAAATATTTTTGGCAGTTTTCCAGTTCATGCCCTCATTTTTGCTGCTGTCCCCACCCCAAAGCGACGCTCCCGTCGTCACTCCCTCGCGAATCGGCTGCTGCTGAGCCGCCGCCTAAAAAACACGAAAAAACCCCGCCGCGGAATCTACAGGCGCGAATCGCAGCCCAGTTTACCTCCCGAATCCAAGCGTGCCCTACTGCCACAAACGCTTCCTCTTTGGTGTTGTGAGGATGATGATTGGTGGTGGGTGGGATTTTTTTATTATTATTAAGGCGCATGCGCCCTTCAATGTTTTTCCCCTACCTCGGGCGGGGGAATCCAGGAAGCGGATCTCAGTGGGCGGAGAGAGAGAGAGAGAGAGAGAGAGAGCGTAGTAGGTGCAGCGAAGCGCGACGCAATCGCGTCCGAAGCGAGGCTGACGTTTGTGACGCGCATGCGCGCTCCGCGTCGAGGCAAACGGACCGCTGGGGAGGCCGCGGAGGGGCAGGCAGCGGGGCGAGCGCTTGTGCATAATAAGCCCAGGCCTGACGGTCCGCCGCCGCCGCCATTATGCTGTGGTTCCCTGGCACCATCCCGGCCGCCATTGCCGCCGCCAAACAGCGCAGCGCCGTCTTCGTGGTGTTTGTGAGAGGTACGGGCCCACCCCCGTGTTTCCGTAACGTGAGGATGGGCGGGGGAGGTTTCGGCTGCCTCTGTGCCTCTCTTCTCAGGCTTCTTTCCCTCCCCTCCCCTCCCCGCCTAGCCTCAGGCGAGCTCCCTCCGCCTATGAAGAGACCTCTTGAACGTACGGAGGGGCCTCATCCCACCCTCCGCGGGGCCTTTGGGTCCGACGCCTCGCCCTCGCAACTGCCCAGGAAATTTGGGAAGAGGAGAGGGGCTTTTGCTTAGACGCACCCGAGCTCGCCCGTTCAGCCGGTTTTCCCCTTTAACAAAAAAAAGGGGGGGAGGTGTCTTCTTGAAGGATTGGGGGGTAGCGGAGAAGAGGGGAAACCAAGCCAGATGGGCTGGGTATAAATAAAAAAAATGGTTGTTGTTATGAGGAGCGCCCGCGTTTATCTGGAAATACCTACGTGAGCGCACTCGTGTGCAAATAACTCAGTCGACAGAGCGTGAAGACTTGTAATCCCAGGATTTTTGGTTTTGAGCCCCACGTTGGGCCAAAAGATTCCTGCATTGCGGGGGGTTGGACTAGATGACCCCCGTGGCCTCTTCTGACCTTTCAAATTCTCTGTTACGCGTGTCCTGGTGTGTGGAAGGGGACTGGCGATTTAGTGGAAACATCCCCGTGTCCTGTAATCACTGTAATCACCCTTCCTTCCAGTACTTGTTACAGAACAGGCCTCCCTAGCTCAGTGCTTGTAAAAAAAAGCCATGGCTATATGCTTCCTTCAGTAAGGTCTTGTGCTTCCTTCTCTCCCCGCCCCCCCCCCCGCTTTATTTCTTGTACGCCCAGCCTAATGCTTCTTGCTTGCTCTTATTCTAGTGTATCCATAGCAGCCATATGTGTGCCCTGGAGCTTGGTACTGATTTGGTGCTCTCTCCTGTCTTGTGACCTATATGGGGGCAGTGCTTGCTGTGTCATGCTGAGCAGGAAATAAAATGCCTTCATTGCGTAGGATAAGAAGGAATTTTTAATGTGCATTGCTTTCTTCCTTCATGGAACCCAAGGCAGCGTACATGTATGAAAGGACTGACCGAATTGAAACATGCTTAGCTTCAGCAAGCTGGCTGCATCATGTGTTTTTACACCCTGGAAGGGGTATCTGTAGCACTTCCTATGTTGTTGGAAGTTGGTGTGATGAGAGTTGTAGCTTGACAGCATCTGGAGGGCCACAATTTCACCATTTGTGCTTTACGACTTACGCTAGTGCCATGTATCCTACATATAGTTTCTGGGAGGACTTGTTGGTTTAAAGTTTATCCATGTTTGAATATGTTGGGTTCAGGTCATCACATTTTGGTTTGGTGCTGTAGCACACAACTAGAAATTCCTGTGGGAAAGTCACATAACATTTCTTCCAGGACACCACCTTTAAAAGCCCTGTCTTCAGTGCATGTAGGCTATGGGAATTAGAAGCGCTGCACCAGTGCATCAAACGCTAGAGATTATTGTCACAATATACTTTTCATTAAACTGGTTTTCTGTGGATTCTGGTATGACTTATTCCCCACAATGTAAATAGTTGTCACGATTCTTCAACTGGAGACCTGTCTTCAGGAAGATAGTAAAGGACAATAATGGGCTGTCATTCCCACAATTTTCTCAAAAATGACCCGTAATACCTTTGATACTGTCATTGCCATGTCCCTATTGCCACTTTTTTTCTTAAGACTCAGGGCAAATTATAAAGGGTAACTTTTTGCCTGTGCCATGCAAACTTCCACTTATGTTCCTGCTGTCACCTTTTTTGGAATTGCCACAAATACTTTTATGTATCTAATTTCTCTTGTTACCTCTGTTTCCTCCCATCCTTCCTAAATATATGTGTAGTCATAAGTTCTGAAAGTAATTTTACCATAACTGGAAAAATCTGGCATCTGATCATGTAAATGCCTCAGAATGTGCCTAATTTGTCTGCCTTTCAGCTGTATGCTATGTATTCTGGATGCAGTTCTGTTTTCTTAATATTCCCACATGAATAGTAATAATATTTAAAATACATATGCTTACAGTAACTAGACTACAGATAACTACTATTAAGGCCTTGCAGATTTATTGCCAGTGTGCATGAACTTTTAGATTTCCCACTGAAATAGAAGGGACAAGGAAGTGCTTCAATTTAGAATATCCTGTCCAGTGTGTTAATCATTTGGGAGAATTCTGCTAGTTAAGTAACACTGGAGAGCTTATTGGTAGTTTACAGAGTAGCCTCAGATCTACTAACAAGCATACAGGAAGCTAAGTTAGCTAAGATAGGATGTTAGGTGTTCACTTGTTACATTTGTCCATGCCAGGATTTTTCCCCTCCAGTATATTTGACACTTCTGATAAAAAAATAATTTTCTTCTATTATAGTGTGCAAAATATCTGCCTGCACATGCCATTGTTCTAGAATCCAAAATAATTGATTTTTAAACTGTTTAGTGTACCATATACAGATGTTAAAATAGAATGTACTAGAATCTGCAGTCTGCATTAATTTTATTTATTGTAAGAGCACTAAGAGTTTTATCCAACTAAATTACTGGATGCACAGAATGATTTCCACACCCTTCATATCATCTCAAAATCTGATCTAGAGGATTGGAGAAACCCTAGGGCAGAAAAGGGAGGCAGAGTTCCATTGTGCTTGCGAAAGTTGTTCCATGCTTACAGCTACATAGTTGGATGCAACCTTATATCCTTTCCTCATTTGCACTATAGTATGCAATCACTCCACTTGTGACACAGGATTAGAAAGTATTCTGGGTGCACCCTTTGAGATAGGTGGTGGAAGTCATGTTGTTCATGTTGCACTAAAAATTGATACAGAGATGGCCTGCATTTCATAGAATGGTGGAGCTTCAGGATATGCACACATATTTTGAAATCTCACTGTTTTAGTGAGAGAATGAAATATTTTTCTGCATCTGTGAAACAATTGTTGACAGCTCCTGGACATTATGCAGCAAAATTATTACCAATACATTTCTAGTAAATGGGTTTTCAGGAATGTGGAAATGTGTGGCATCCAGTTTTGTTCTGAATAGTGATAGTAATGGTATGTATATTGTGGTTGGTAGACTGATATAAGTTGCTCTACAGCTCTGGAAAATTGTCCATAACTGGAAATGGTGACTGTTGGACTTACTACCTAAAGTTGGCTTTTTTGGATACACCAAAAAGCTGCTTAGAGAGAGGGTAGGATATAAATATAGTAAATAATTCAAAAGAATTGAAGTCATCCGTGTCAATTTAATGATCTGAAGTATTTCCAAATTTTAACACAACACTAGATAGGCTGAAACAGGCATGTCCAACAAGAGACTGTGAACTACTCCCAGTATAAAAAAACTTGCAGTGATTGTCATTGGAGGAGGGTGGGTGGGTTGCCCAGAGTTGTTAAGCTTTCTTTAGGAGGAAAGTGCCCAGAATTGTTGAGCTTTTTGTGGGAGGATTGCACAGAGTTGGTTTTTTTAGCTTTCCCCCCATAACTTTTTGTACACAATAAGGATCCTGTGATCTACCAGGATCAGTCACAATCTACTGGTTGGACATCCCTGGGCTAAAACAATCAGCCCACCCAGCATAGCCAGTGGTCAGGGATGCTGTAGTCCAGCAATATTTTTGTGGCTGCAGTTTCCCTCATCCCTGGGCTAAAATACTGAAATTTTGCAGCCATCTTTGAAGTGAAAATTACTAGAATGGTCAGGCCCCGCAGTCTTAAGCAAAAACAGTATCATCAAACTGATGAAAACTCATGAACAGCTAGAAGAGTGCAGAACTGTTAGAATTGATCGTGGCACAATGGAATGATTGCTTAAAAGCATTGAAATTTTGCAAAGTCAGTTATATAGCATTTTGTAAATTAACAGTACTCAGCTTGTGCATGGTATGTTTCTTGCATGTCTGCTGCATTTTACATCGCATGATGAATATCCTTGTGGGAAATCACCACACTTGAGCTCTTTATTTTTCTTTCCATGTTCTCTCTAGGGAAGTGATTCTGGAGTACACAGATTATAGCTGTGCTAGCAATTGGCGCAGCTCAGCTATTTTCTATGTGTGCCTGCCTCTGTCAATACTGCAGAGTTGTTCTTAAGCATAGTTTAATTATACAAGTTAACCTATTGACAAGATCATTTGAAAAAAATGTAAACTTCCCTTTCTCAGACTACTGTACTTTACTAAGTATCAGTATATGCACAGAAAATATGGTGGACTTTTCTGTTGTAAAGCTCTGTAGGTATTAAATAGTGATGAGATACAGTATGCTACTCAGAAGTCAAGTGGAAAGCAAGTGGGTTAACAACAGTAATAAACCAGGCAGAGGGCCTTCTCGGTACTGGCGCCCGCCCTGTGGAACGCCCTCCCACCAGGTGTCAAAGAGAAAAATAACTACCAAACTTTTAGAAGCCATCTAAAGGCAGCCCTGTTTAGGGAAGCTTTGAATGTTTGAATGTAATAATGTTTCTTCAACTACAGCAGTGAAAAGCAGCAGATAAAAGCAGCAGATACCATGGGCAGGGTCCACACTGCACCTACTCATGGGCTCTTCCTGCATACCCCCCACTTCTCATGTATGCTAATGGCTAAACAGTGCAGGAAAGAACCCCCACCATGAAAATAAAGGAAGAAGGGCCCTGAAGTGAATAGAAGGTTTCCCTCAGAAATTATCATTTTTAAACTGATAGTATCTTAAGTTATAAATAGAAGGGGAGAACAAGAGTTAAGTAATGTTTCACCCAGATGCAGGCGCTGCTTCAAACACTTCACATTACAGTAAAGTTGTTGGCATCCCTCTGTCTCGGGAGACAATGGAGTTCGTCTCCAGGGGTAAAGTCAAACTGCTATGTTAGCAGCACCAAAGTGCTGCTAACATAGCACCCAGCACACAAGCCTGGGAGTATGTATGGGGGACCTGGGCTGCCCAGATGACAAGACCCCCCCTCTTGGCTGTGCTGATGTGATCTAAAGGAAAGCAGGGCAATATGTTTGGCACCAGTTTATCTGCAGGAGTTGCTGGAAGGAGGCGTACAAAATGCCATCCAACCACCTTAGGGAATCCACTCCAGATTTGTGTAAAATATATAAAAACACAAATTCAGGGAATTCAAACAAACAAAAATAGGGTCTAATCTTATGGGCCAGGAAAAGCCCAGGCTGAAAGCTAATATATATGTGTGTGTATCTGAAGTACAGGAGTAATCTCATGCATAGATCATATTGCTGGAAGTAGGAGGAATTGCTGTGTATAACATTGGTAGCTTGAACTTTTAGGATATAGTCTGGCTGATGCATTAGGATCTCAGACAGAGAGAAACATTACATCAGTAACAAATGGGTTTAGATTTAAGATAGTAGGTGATTGAAGGTATAGAAGACTCTTCCAGACCACTTAACTTATATTTGATTACTTCACTTATGAAGAGCCACTAATAGTTCCCTTGCTCCTTTGAACTGGCAATAATTATTCTCTTTCAAATTCTGCCCTCTTTAAGTTGCTGAAATTGTGAATTATTATAGATGAAAATATAAATGAACACTTCATGCCTAATTTCATTAGGGGGAACATTGCAAATTGTCAGCAGGCTTTCTATATGGGTTGTTATAGCTTTGTTCTGTTAAAAATTGTTACTTTGCTTTTACAATAATTGCACATGAATATGTATGCTTTTATATTGCTATATGAATAAGTGTTTCAAAGCCAGAAATTATCCATTAAATTGGTTCTAAAATGTTACAATTTTCTAGCTGGTGCATTGTTTGGCCACTTCGTTGTCATTTAAAAATCATAGGATTGACAGATTATAAAATAAATTCTAGCTATTTGCCGTTTAGAGAGTGGTGAAAGATTTATTTGCTGGAACATAATGAGTTAGTTGCAAACAGAATAGTTATAATTATTTAATATGTAAATTAATAAAATAACAAATACAAGTTGATCTATTGCACATAGTGATGTAATTATCAGTCATATTTCTAGCACAATCCCATTGATCACGTGATCTGAAAATGTTTTAAATGATCACCAAACTGTGAGAGACCCTTGTTTTGTGGAGCACTGCATGTTGGTGTTGCACCCCCTTTACATAATTATATGTCACTTGTCTTTCTCGTTTGGGTCATCTGGAGCTGCTGGTTGTGCATATCTTGCACCTGCTGTCTGTTTGTGACACTTTTGGGTCTAGAGTCTTTTTTTAAAGCTGAGCCGCTGGCACCTGGTAAGTGGGTTATACTATCTTTGGGTCTATCCCAACTCTGTAGTTGTGTGATCATCCTTGCCCTAAAGTTATAAACATTGCATTTCTAGTATCCTGTAATCTGTAATTAATCTATATTTGCATCTGTGAAGAAGACTTCTTGTTTTTCGCAGGGGATGATGAACAGTCCATAGAGATGGCTGCCAGCTGGGAGAATGAGAAAGTGACTGAGGCAGCAACAGATGGCTTTGTAGCTATTAAAATAGATACCCAAAGGTTTGGCAACTTCTTTTACTGTTGTTTTTGTTGTTAGTAGTAATTTACTTTTAAAGAGACCTCATATAATCAATATGTAGTTATTTTGGAAGGGAATTCAATTGGTATGTGTGTGGAATATTGTTATCCAACTAGACACTAAGTGTATATTTTACTGAATAGTTTACTTTATTCTCGTTATATTTGTGCTACTCCATTCTCCATTAAAATAAGATCCAACTGATACTTTTCACTCTGAAAATTAAAAGCCATAATACTTTCAGGAGGACTTTAAAGTCTGGAGGAGACAAACCGTGAACCCATATTCAGATGACACCTAAGCCAAACCATGGCTTAACTCAGGCATAGGCAAACTCGGCCCTCCAGATGTTTTGGGACTACAGCTCCCATCATCCCTAGCTAACAGGACCAGTGGTCAGGGATGATGGGAATTGCAGTCTCAAAACATCTGGAGGGCCGAGTTTGCCTATGCCTGGCTTAACTCACAGGACTGGAGAAGGAATAAAGCAGCCATGATCTCCTTTCCTGGAGCCCATAATTTGTGCTAAGCCATGGTTTAGCATAACATTACATATGAACTGAGCCATTGTATAATCTGCATACTATTTTATGTAAGTTAATTTCAGTGTAGTGTTTCAGAGAAATAAAAATTAATTTGTTGCGATCCTACAAGGCTTTTAAACAGTCTGATATACAATAACAACGTAACTGATTATTTTATGACATTTTATATTAGTGTGATTGTCTAAACTTGATACTTTTTTTTACACAGTGAAGCCTGCCTGCAGTTCTCCCAAATCTGTATCCTTGAACAAAATATAATAAATTGAATCATTTCACACTCAGATGTTCATTTATGGGCTTCGTTATTGTATGGTGCAAACTACAGGATCTCCTCCCTCAGGAGATTCTGTCTGTTCTCCTTTACTGCTCCATATGCTTGGAACTTTCTTCTAGAATACCTGTGTGATGACACCTTTCTTACTCCATCTAAACGCATCTTCAAACCCACTTTTTCCTGAAGCTTTTCAGTTTCCTGGTTACTGTAACTGGTTACTAAGCCTAAGTAGGTGAAAGTGAAACACCCCTTGTATATCTCGCCTCCACTTCCTAATATTGTAAATAATAATAATAGGTAATAATTTAGTACAGTGTTTCCCAACCGGTGTTCCGCGGCACACTACTGTGCCGCGAGACGTTGCCTGGTGTGCCGTGGGAGGGAGGCGGGCGAGTCGCACGGCGCCTCGGCGTCGGGCGGCAGCGAGCCCAGGAAGCGGCCCAGCCGGCCGGGGTCGCCCGCCTGCAGCAGCGCCTCGCACCCGCACGAGACCTGCTCCGCCGAGAAGCGGGCGAGCGCGGAGGATCGGGCGCGGCGGAGGCCAGCCCCGCGCTTGGAGAGGACGCAGCAGCCGTCGCCAAACCCGATCCTCCTCCTCCTGCTCCTCCGCCGTCCTCTGGCTCTCGGCCGGGAGGAGCCTGTGGCGACGGGGCGGGCGCCGAAGTTGGCAGAAGTTGGCGCACCTCCTCGGCAGTGCCTTCGTCCTCCTCCTCCTGCCTCTGCTCTCCTCCGGCGGCGGGGGCGCGCCGCCCTCCCCGGCCGGGGGGCTCGGCGGGGCCCGCAGGGAAGGAGGCCATGTTCGCGGCGCGTGGGATCGCGGCCCCCCTCGCCCGCCTCCGGCCCGCTCCCCTCCCCCTGCGCGCCTTCAAAAGCCCTCCCTTTGCTCCCCCCTGCCTGCCATCAAAAGCGCTGCGTTTCTCCGCTCTCCCGGGAAGGCAGGCAGGGGGGAGCAAAGACTTTTGCCCCCCGCTGGCCTTCAGAAGAGGTCCAGTACCTCTTCTGAAGGCTGGCGGGGGGCGCAAGTCTTTGCTCCCCCCCTGCCTTCAAAAGCTGTCCGCCCAGGCTTCGCGGACCTCTCCGCAAGCAGCGGCAGCGCTGCCGCTGCTTGCGGAGAGATGCCGGCATGCCAAAGCCTGGGCGCGCTGATATCAGCGCGCCCAGGCTTCGCGGCCCCGCCGCCCGGCATCGGGGCATGGTCCCGATGGCGGGCGGCAGGGGGAGGCATTCCCGCCCGCCCCCGGCATCGGGGCATGGTCCCGATGGCGGGCGGCGGGGGGAGGCGTTCCCGCCCCACCGCCCGGCATCGTGGCATGGTCCCGATGGCGGGCGGCGGGGGGAGGCGTTCCCGCCCGCCGCCGGGCATCGGGACATGGTCCGGGGTTTTTAAATTGCCCCGGAACAGCGGAGAAGTCCCCCGCTGTCCCGGGGCTTTTTAAAATGCTGGTGGGCGACAGCGGAGGCTTCGCTCCCGCCCGCCAGCATTTTAAGATCGCCCCGGACAGCGGAGAAGTCCCCCGCTGTCCCAGGGCTTTTTAAAATGCTGGCGGGCGACAGCGGAGGCGCTCCCGCCCGCTGTCCCAGAGATTTCCCTATGGGCTTTCGTCTTGCGAAGCAAGCCCATAGGGAACTTCGTCTTGCGAAGCGCCTCCAAAACGGAAAACCCTTTCGTCTAGCGGGTTTTCCGTCTTGCGAGGCGTTCGTCTTGCGGGGTACCACTGTATTAACTTTCCTTTCCCCTCCCTTCGTCCTTCCTACTTTTACTCCTGGGCTCCTCCCCCCTTTGCGCAGCCACAAATCAATCTCTCTCTCTTTTTTCCCCTCTCTCTCTTCTTTGCTCAGACGCAAAAAAGCGCCGCTTTTTGGAAATCCGGACTGCTGTCCCCGCTGAAACGATACTTTAAAAAAGGAAGAACCCACTGGCTCTTATTTCTGTTTAAAGCAGTAGATCCCGAACTCTTTTGGCCCACTGCCCCCTTGGTTCCACATCCCCCAGTGTCCCCTATGCTTACTCTATAGAAAGCATTACAGGGGTTAACGCGGCTCGCTAAGCAAGATATTAATAGAATTCTGCATTTGGGGGGAGACCCTAACAGTCATCTACCATTACCTTCTATGCTGTTACTATTTTTTTATTTTTTTTTACATAAGTAAAAAGTGACCTTTCCCCATCTGGCATGGTGGTATGCCTCGAGATTTTTTTCATGACACAAGTGTGCCTTTGCCCAAAAAAGGTTGGGAAACACTGATTTAGTATTACTGTTCTCAACAGAGAGGCGTCAAAACCATAGTCATTTCTGGCTCTCCTCACTGGGGGTTTATCTCTGGTTTTTCATTCTGTGCTTTTCTTAATTGTTTATATAGTGATATGGTGTATACTGAAAAACTGGGACTTTGAGGGTGCTGTTCCATGAAGAAAACAGGTTGCATGAAACAGCACTATGATTGAGATGGTTGTTCTACTTGTAACCATCTTGGCTAAGGTTTATTGAATAACTATCTGGCATGAGACCTTTTCAGAAAAACTGTGTGACCAAACTGAAGATAGTTCTTCAATTTTTAATTACAGCAAGTTGATTTGCAGTAAATTTAGGAGTAATGAAAAACAAATAAAAGCCCACCATGCTATTGACTTTTGAGCTTCACTACCAAAACATGTTATGTGTGTGGAATGTTAGCTGATGCCAAAACGATTAGACTTAAGACATGTAGAATAGCATCTACTACAACCTTGGTGTACAGAGGCAATTTACTTTTGAGTGCCAATGACAGTGAGGGTGGCGCTGTGGGTTAAACCACTGACCCTAGGGCTTGCCGATCAGAAGGTCGGTGGTTTGAACCCCCTCCGACGGGGTAAGTTCCCGTTGCTTGGTCCCAGCTCCTGCCAACCTAGCAGTTCGAAAGCACGTCAAAGTGCAAGTAGATAAATAGGTACTGCTCCAGCGGGAAGGTAAACGCCGTTTCCGTGCACTGTTCTGGTTTGCCAGAAGCGGCTTAGTCATGCTGGCCACATGACCCGGAAGCTGTATGCCGGCTCCCTCGGCCAATAAAACGAGATGAGCGCCGCAACCCCAGAGTCGGTCACGACTGGACCTAATGGCCAGGGGTCCCTTTACCTTTACCAATGACAGAGACAAATCACGGGAAAAGCTGTTTTCTTCATGGTCCTGCTTATGAGCATGCCAGAGGTATTTGACTGGCTGCTGTTAGGAAAACTAAGCTGGGCTGAACAAATCTTTGCTGATCCATCAGGGTAGGACCAAAGCAATATTTGACTATTAACTACTGCCCATGTGATTTAATTGAATCTCAAGATGTGGCTCACAGAGGATGCCACTTAAAAACAAAAGAGGTCTATGTTTTGAGGTTAGAAGTGATCCTTCAAATTTGTGTTCAGTTTTCATTCAAAAGATTTTATGCAAACTGTCTCCATGATAATATGACACATTTCTTTAGAGCTGGGAGAAGAGGGATGAGGCAGCAGAAAAGTGATGGGCTTGGTATCGCTTAAATTTTCCATGGGGAATTCAGATATTTCTGTACTGGTAGCATCAGTTTGCTATAGGTGGCATCCAGTTGGTGTCCCATCACTGGTAAAAGCTGCTGTCGGCAGATCAGGAAGGCAGGCACTTTTCATTTACTCCTCTTCCTCCTCTAGCCCTACACACCCCTAATTGGCTTCAGAAGGCCCCTGTATTTGGAAAGAAGGGGGAACTGCCAAAAATTGTCTCCCCCATTTCACTGAGGGGCACTAGTTCAATATCATCCTATATGCTTTGCTCAGCTGTTTGCAATAACTTAAACCATTTGCATTTATGTTTCTTTTCCAATTTTATTTTGCCTTCCTTACAATTGAGATGTTGTCCTTTACTATTGCTGCATAGATCCTGTAGTGTGTGTTCCATCCAGTTTCTTTATAGGAGACAATGGAGTCCCTTTGGAAGTGATTGCTGGCAGCGTTTCTGCAGAGGAACTTGTTACAAGAATTCATAAAGTCAAGCAGGTAAGAAAAAGTGACCAACCTGGTTTTTCAGCATAGTGAAATAAATGTTTAAAAGCTTGTTCCTGTTGAATAGATTACAGGCAGAAAAGGTCACTGTGTCGGTATGCCTATAGAATTGTGAATTCTATATGTTCTTGCTTGATGAAAGAATATTTAATCATACTATAGTTATGCTAAATTAAACCAGTTTTATGTACCAAGTTGGAAATGTACTAATAGAGCAATAATAACTTTTTCTAGAAGACATTTTTCTTGATGGGCTAGATCATTGGGGGGCGGGAATCACTCCTGAAATGTACTTGTTTCTCACCCTTCTTTTAATGCAGCAAGAAAGGTCAGGTCACATGTGTTTCCCCTCATTTGCCCCTTTAAGATCAGGCTATACAGTGGTACCTCCGGTTGTGGGTGAGATCCGTTCCAGAGCTCTGGTCGGATCCCAAGGTTTCCGCAACCGGAGGCACCGCTTCTGTGCATGCACATAGTGTGGTAGAGCGCATCTGCGCATGCGCGCACAATGAAACACGGGTTTGCCGCTTTTGCAACCCAAAGTTTATGTTACCCGAGGGTAATGTAAGCCGAGGTGCTACTGTAATTAGTCTTGAGACATGGCATAGAACTATTGTCCCCTTCACACCTCCCACTGGCACTTTTATGATGATTATTTTACTGCAAACTGACAAACTGGTAATCTGGATTAAGTTTTCCATAAGATTAGGCCAGGTGGTGACCCAAGCTATTTATTTAATCCTAGCTGCCTCTTAAGTGTGTACCAGGACATATGCTATTCAAGCATCTTTTTCTAAATGTTGTATCTTTCCTTATCAACCCCTGTGATAGTAGTTTGCCTTCAGCCTCTGCCTGTGGGATAATATTATATACTAATTTGATTGTTATATTCAAGGCTCCTTGACTTGGTGACCTATAGTTAAGTGGTCTGGAATTTTGTTATAGAACTCTCTTCTCATTCTACAACTGCTAAAAGAGGGGACAGAGATGCTACACACCAATTTTCAGGAGATATAAAACAACATCAGAGAAAAAAAGTGCAAACAAAACGACTTGTTCTCACATTAAGAAATAGTAATTTATGACATATTTTGCTTCCTTCTCCTTCTGCCATATGCCAATAGAAGGGTTATTGTACTCATTTCAGGAGATCTTTAGCTACACACTACTCTTGAAAGTGAAGTCATCCATAAAATAATAGTTGCTTTTTCTTCCTGCAGTGAAACAGGGCCTTTGACAGCCATGCAGCCATGGTTCTGATCTTTTCACCATGTATTAGTATCATACAAAATGCACTCTTAAGCTTACTATTTGTAGATTAGGCTACATGAGCATCAGTTTTGTACTTTGAAGCCTAGCAGTTGTTTTCACTTTGATTTAGAAAATGGCTTAAAAGTCAAATGTTCTGGAATTACAGCCATTTACTGATATCTACTCTTCTTTCTTCCTTAGATGCACACGTTAAAAAATGAAGCAATGGAAAGTTCTGTGCCGTGTTCCTCATCTTTAAATGGCATCACAGAGGACTCTCAGTCCCAAACAGCTGAGCTTGCTGAAGCACAGCCTGAAAGGCTAAGTGTATCCTCAGCTGGTAAGTATGTGTAGCTGCCTACATTCAAGATTGGTATTTACATATGGAGTTAAAATGGTAGTCTTTCAAAAGTAAAGGATGGGAAAGACCTCCTTTAAGTGATTACCATTTTTGTGTGTGCCTCATTATGCTACTACCTTTTAAGTCTTTTTCATTCCCCTCCATAACTGCTGCTCATCCCTGCCACGCTCTTTCTCATCTACAGTTGTAAAGGTAAAATGGAGGTTGTAGTGCTGTCAGGTACGCTACTGGCCTTGCTGAGAATGAGCAATTCAGTGCATTAATTAGGCAAAGGATATCTGAAACTATGTTAATTGCTTAACTGTTGTGAAGAACATGGATCCAAAGTTGAAGTATTCAGAATATCAACTTTGTGCAGAAGCAGCTGAAGATGTTGTTGATTCTAAATAGTGAGCTAGTTTGGATCATTAATATTCATAGTGGCATGATAACAATATTTTGTAAGAGTTCATACAGCAATTGCTTATGATGGTAAAATGTTGATACTTTCCCCTTTCCCTTCTCCTTCTTTTCCCTTACCTGTTATTTCTAAACTACTTAAGGTGAAGTAAATTTGGACCAGACAAATGTGGAAAGTGATGGAAGGGGGGAATCGCAGACTACAGATGACCTTACAGCCAAAGTAGAAAGGTATGTTTTTTGCAGACTTTCTGGTTATTCTAGAAAGCAGGGCTAGGCAACCTTGAGCCCTGAGGGCTGCATGCAGCAGTGGGAAAGCAGTTGAGGATTGTCTGGCAGTTTTCATGGTCAGAGCCAGCCAGCCACACACATGCATGCGCTCTCATTCGTTTTTCCAATATACAAACACACACAAAGAAAAGATGGGACTGTGTGGCAAGCACAAGACTGCCTGTAACAACTGTGTCGTCCATATCTATCAGACTGCATCAATTCAAGAGGAGATTGCCACCATTTATCATTACTTATTATTTCTAGAGTCTGACTTAAGGGCCAAATCATCAAGCCAAGGCTTAAAAGGCAGATAGTGTGAGAAGAAGCCATTTCAAGAGAATGTGAAAAGCACAGGAGAGGGCAAAATTACACTGATCTGTCATCTGGATTGCACTTCTCAACTGTAGTGCAGAGCTACAATGCAGTTTAAATTACCCATCGAAACAGTCCAGATCTTTTAAAGCACCTTTTGAAACCTGTTCTTTGGCAGAACGTCTTCTGGATCTATGACAGGCTCTCATGCTTTGTTATTTGCTGCCAGCCAACCCTTCTTCAGCTTTGCAACAGCACAGAATGAGGGTGTTGTTTTTTACCCACAGTTTTCTAGTCTATGCATCTTCATGGCAAAGTTCTTACCCCTTTTCTGTCATGCTAAAGTTAATTTGCCAGGCCTGTGTATTTGGCAGTGCAGGCAAGGAAGTACTTTATGCAACTGAAAATTTAATAAATGATAATACTGAGTTATTGTTTTTGCTAGTTATTATGATACATATTTGTGTGTTTTTATATTGTAAACTGCCCTGTTGTTTTTGGATAAAGGGCAGTATAGAAATTTAATAAATGTAAAATTAATAATGGTAATAGAACTGCTGTTGGAAAGCAGAATTGCTGTAGTATAATATACTGCCTTTCAGTTTTGGGTGGTTTTGTTTGGTTTTGTTTTTTGGCAGAGTCATGTATAACATTTTGATGTGCACTTCCCCACACTGAAATAAAGTTTCACCTTGTGTTTGTATTCTTCTAAATTTAGAGTGACAAAAAAACTTGAAGAAAGAAGAGAAGAGAAAAAGAAAGAAGAAGAACAGGTAGAGTGTAACTGAATTTATAATGTTGCATTTTATTTTTATTTTGAAAAACGTATAAGCTGCTTAATAAAATAGTGTACGTAAAATAATATGAGTATCAATAATACATAATACCCCCCCCCAAAAAATAATACTTAATTAAATTATAGGGATAGGCTTGCTGGAATAACAATTATGAGGTGGCTAAAGCAGCAATTTCATTCTCTTTTAATGTCCGGGAATTTTCTATTAAACTAATTTTCAGGAAAATTTTAAATTAGTTGTGTATTTATATGATAGGTAAAGGTAAAAGGACCCCTGACCATTAGGTCCAGTCGTGGATGACTCTGGGGTTGCGCGCTCATCTTGCTCTGTAGGCTGAGGGGAGCCGGCGTTTGTCCGCAGACAGCTTCCGGGTCATGTGGCCAGCATGACTAAGCCGCTTCTGGCGAGCCAGAGCAGCGCATGGAAACACAGTTTACCTTCCCGCCGGAGCGGTACCTATTTATCTACTTGCACTTGATGTGCTTTTCAAACTGCTAGGTGGGTAGGAGCAGGGACCAAACAACGGGAGCTCACTCCGTCGTGGGAATTCGAACCGCCGACCTTCTGATCGGCAAGCCCTAGGCTCTGTGGTTTAACCCACAGCGCCACCCGCGTCCCTTTAAAAGCTTAGGAAAGGTGTATTCTCTTTTCACTCAGAAGGAAATCAAGAAAGAAGTAGAAAGAAGAAAAAGTGGAAAAGATATGTTGGAGTACAAAAGGAAACAAGAAGAAGAACTTACAAAGCGAATACTGGAAGAAAGGAACAGAGAAAAAGCTGAAGACAGAGCTGCTAGGGAACGCATCAGACAGCAGATTCAAATGGTAAGTCATCTGTTACAAGGGGGCCTTCAACAAAGTGTTGCGTTGCGGTGTGCTCTCTGTTCAGGATGTCAGCCACTCTATTCCTGTCCACCGTCTTCCCCTCTCTCCAGTTTCCCATACCGCCCCCCCCCCCCGCTGGCCAGTCAGCATTTCACTCTCACTCATTTTTCTGATACTCCTTTGTGTGTTGAATATGGAGCATCACTCAAATAACTGAAAACTCTATTAGTACAGTATATATGATTTATTAGGTTAGCTTCTTGGAAAAAAGTAAATTCTTAGCAAATTGACCTTCAATATACCGCATTTTCCCATGTATAACACCCCCATGTATAAGACAACCCCTATTCTTTGGGACTTCAAATTAAGGAAACGGGGAGATTGCTCAGAGTTGTTGAGCTTTTTTGGGGGGGGGATAGGAAACTGGGGGGGGGACACACCTCGCTGAAGCCACCAATCGTTTGTCAGTTCAAACACAATGGATAAGCAAGGCTTCCAAACTCCTATTCCCAGTTGCACACAGGGAGGAGGGAGAGGACAAATCTAAGACTCACTTACCTAGGCTCGTTCATGGCATGTTAAAGCGTGGTTTAGCATGAAGATGACATGTGAAAGTTAAGTGTTCATTGAATATAATAAATGAGAACAAATTATGTCCCTCACTACATACAAGTTGGTAGTAATTTCTTTCCATGAGACTGCATTGAATAAAATAGCCTCGATTGGGCCATGGTAACATGTAGTGAATGTCTTTGTCCTCTTATGAAGGATCGTGCTGAAAGAGCAGCTCGTTTTGCAAGGTCCAAGGAAGAAGCAGAAGCTGCAAAAGCTGCTGCTCTCCAAGCTAAGCAGGCTGAAATGGAAGCCAGGAAGGAATCATCACAGAGGGAAAGAAGGTGAATTCTTTTTCATCCCTTCATCCAACTCTTCCCATTCCCTTCACCTTGTACACACCAACTTCATTTATTGTAGCACCATGCATTTTTTGCTTTGTTGTCTCACTCCTTTATCAGCCCATACAATTAACCTTCTTTGCCCTCTATCTCTTGGTAAAACGATAAAACCCTCAGCCGAGAACATCTTTCTTCTGTATTCTGTATATTCTCTTAGTGTGCTACTGCTGCTAAAGAGATGTCAACTAATAATTTGATCTAACTTAAAAATAAGTGCAGTTGATGAACTCTGCCTCTCTAATATCCCCTGGTATATGAGTGAAGCATTTAAAGGAATTTAAGTGATGGAAGCTGTTCTTAAAATTCATTCTTAAACTGATATATTTTCCCTAGTGCTATAGCAAGAATTCAGTTTCGCCTTCCAGATGGATCCTCTTTTACCAATAGTTTCCCTTCGGATGCCCCGTTGGAAGAAGCCAGACAATTTGCTGCACAGGTAAATGAGGATCTGTTTTATTTTTAAGTTATAGAAGAGCATGTATGTATAGTTACCATAATCGCTTCAGGATTTTTGAGAGAAAGATGGAACGCTTTGAGGAAAAAACAGGTGGCAGCTTTGGCCCTTTGTCTCAATGCTTGGGAGGGTTTTAAAGATGCCAGTTATTGATCTTGTTAGTGCATAACATTGACCATAAATAATGTGGGTCAGTTGCATTAACACAACTACAAACCACAAGCAGCTAAGTGAGTTGGTCTTCAGTTTGTTTCCCACTGTGGTAAGGGCAGTTGAGAAATGGGGACTCTGTGTGCACCAATTTGCATCTTGCACACAAGCTAACTACCTTACTATCTAAACAATTGTAAACTGTTCTGAGAATATTTGTTAAACTAAATGAAAGTTTTACAACCTTATACATGTCACTACTCGTTTTGGTCTGGCCACAAAATAGGATGCTTCCAGGTGTCCTCAAACTTGCCCTTAACTGGCATACCTCTTGCATAATTTTTGGGTCCTGTGTCTTCAGAAGACAAAAATAGTAGGTGTTGGGCACAGATACCATGTGTAAATTAAGAGTGTTGTTTTCCCCCTTTGAAATAACTTATTTTGAGATGAAGCTCTGTATTTCATGGTTAAAGGTCCTTCCCATTTTTATTTCTAAATTTTAAGGGGAATACAAAGTACTTACCTGATTTGTTCTACTACAGACAGTTGGCAACACATATGGCAATTTCTCATTGGCGACAATGTTCCCCAGGAGGGAATTTACCAAAGATGATTATGGGAAAAAATTAGTGGACCTGGAACTTGCCCCAAGTGCTTCTGTAGTATTGTTGCCGGTAAGTGTGCTTTATGGAAAAGATTATTCAAATTGTATCATGAACTGTTTTACAACCATCCAATATTACTTCTTGAAATAACCTCGTGTATTTATGGAGTTTCTTCTAGAGTCCAGTTTTCAGTCCTGTTTGTTTTGTATCTTCAAACAGGCAGGAAGGCCAGCAACAGCAGTTGTCCAGTCTTCCAGTGGAGATTTTTGGAGATTCCTGGGTACTATCCTTTATCCACTCATAGCTGTTTGGCGATTTATTAGCAACTTCCTGTTTACGAATCCTCCTCCTTCCCAGCCTACTGCAAGACCTCATCAGCAGGATCACTCAAACCCTTCAGCATCGAGCACTGCAGAATCAAGCAGGTAGGACTGACAAGTGTTCTTAAATTATTGTTTTTCACTCCCTCTGGTAGATGCACGGGCTTGGGAGAAAGACAGGGTTTTCCCTTGTTTAGGCTGGGATACAGAGAAACTCCACATGAATAACTAACATGTCAGTGGCTCAAACTGGCTTCTATGGACAGGATACCATGTTGTAATCCAAATCTACTTTTTGTTGGGCGATTACAAATAGCAGTGTAGGAGTAAGCAATAAGAATACACAATGTGTTGCATGCTCCCTGGCCATCTTTGCTTGGTAGGGTTTCTTTCTGAAACAGCAGTTTGGATTTCCATGCCAGCTGCTGCCAGAAAGATAGCTTCTGAAATGCATCCAGGAGCATTTAAGATTACATTTTGTGAATGTGCCAAATTAATATCACCATGAGCCAGGAAGTGATGGCCTGGAACTGGCAGCAAACATGTCAGTGCACTATATAGGTGACATTCCCTCTGTTCTTCAGCTGAATTCACTCTAGGGTGCATTTTGAAGGAAATAAAAACTACCTTTTGTACGTTGAAAGGGGTATTAATGTGAACTGAATCAAATTCTCCAGTTACTTCTCCCGGGTGGAGGGGTGCTAGAATTGAATCAGGAGCTGAAGGAATGGTACCTTCTGATGTCTAGAAAACATTGCCACTGTAAGGATTTAATCTCAAACCACATTTCTTCTTTATTTAGACAAGCAGTCAGGAAACGAGTATTGGAAAAACGGGGTGAAGAATTCAAAAAAGAAGGCAAAATCTATAGACTGAGAACTCAGGATGATGGAGAAGATGATAACAATACTTGGAATGGAAATTCAACCCAACAGATGTAGTTTTTATGAGTAAACTGTGCATAGTAATCATTGATTTTTCCCTTTGATTTAGTTTAATCCTTCTGCTGCACAGGTGGGCTTGTATGAGTATGCTGCCTGCATTATGCCATATTCCTGTCATAGCACATGGAATAAGGTGTTAATTGTGTAGCTGGATACTGCAACTGTAACTACTGCCAAAAGCTCAAAGAATGTAAAAAAATCCCCATCTTCCATCAGCTTTCAGAATTTCATACTAACTAGCCCTGTTGTCATCTGAAGGCACTTTTTAATCTATATAAATCTTGGAACAAATCGGAAGCCCAGATTAAAACAAGAGAGTCTGACTAGCAGAAGCATAATACCTTGCAAATTGGATAACTTATTTTTCCCCCTTTAGTGCTTCTGCAACTACAAGACTGTACTGGTAGTTTTTAATCTCAGAGCATTCAATAAAGGTTTTCAAAAAAAGAAGTCATCTGTATGTTATTTAGAAGTTCTCTGATACCAACTTGACACTTTGCAATATGTTCACCTTGTTCATTTATTTTAAAATTGTCCCCACCCCTTATTCCCAGGGTGAACTGCACATAACAATTCAAGGAATATTGAATTGAATATTGAAAAATATTAAATTCAACAATAGGTATTAAAATCAGTGCTTTTTTTCAGGGAGTATTCAAGGGTACATAGTACCAGCACCTCTTCTTCTTGTTTAAAAAGTATAGCACTTACTGTAACAACTTCATGCTGAGTACCGGCACCTATTTTTTCTAGAAAAAAAGCACTGATTAAAATAATTGTGTGTCTGTTCTAAACATGGGCAGGAGAAAAAACTATCGCATGATAAACTAATTAAATGCAAGCTGCAATATTTAAAAACTTTTTTGGCTGGCTTTTTTGGTCCTTTTTCTATATAGATATGAAAAAAGAGCAATGCCTAGCACAGACATTAAGAGTAGGGAAAAGAGCACATAAAGGCCTACTTCTGCATTAGACGAAGTCAAGTCCAGTCCCAAAAACTGCACCTTCATGGCTGAATTGTCGATAGGCCGAGTAGTGCTGCTTGTTGGCGCCATAGTAGTACCTAGAAATGTAAGTGAAATTCACATGAATGACACTATGAGCAGGGAGTTCTGATCACCCCTCATTTAAATCTTTTTTACTTGCTTCTCCAGCCTTCCAAAATACATCAGGCCACTCAGGCAACTTTTCTGTAAAAATCTAGACTAAATCATTTAAGGACATTACACCAAAGATTTTTTTTTTTACACAGCCAACTTCTATTACCATATACCACCTTACTTTCCAGAATCAGATGTCATTAACACGATATGCAAGTTTTCTATAAAAGCAAAGTTAAAAGTTTTAAACATTTAGGTTATTTTTACTGTACCACTTCATGGATTTTCCTAACTCCGCAATTAGTAATTTACCTACCTCCAGATTGTGACTCAAGGCACAAATGAGGCCCAGTGGCTGGATCTGGAAAGCCATTACACCGGATGATAGATGAATAATATTTTGAAGACTCCTTTGGAATTCTGGATAGATTTGGGTCTGTAAAGTTGGTGTAATACAACCCAAATCTTTCAGCAAAGCCCACTGCCCATTCAAAATTATCCATCAGGCTCCATACAGTGTAGCCTCGCAGATCAACACCATCAAGTACAATTCCTGTTGGGGGGGGGAAGAGTTTTAAAATGCAGCCCTATACATGCTTACACTATAATGATCAACAGGGAGTGAAAACTAAAGACCCCTTATTAACACTAGGTGCTTTACAAAGTATCCATTCCTAACAGAGATTGGCTGCACCTTAAAAATCCCAAATTCCTTTTGTATCCACAATCTGGATGATCAAAAAGTCATCAATTAATGGATTTTTTTTCTCACGTCTTCATATGTACTGGCGATGACAACAATGAAACCAGACAGTGGTAACCATTTTAGAGGACGTAATCCGGAGTAAGAGTATGATCTTGTGTCAATGGGAATTAAGCAACATATTCTGTCTTGATTTTGCAGAGTAGTCTTTCACCCCTGAAGTCAATAGAAAGTGGAAGTCCTGGGGCAGTTGCAGAAGACATGGCAACTCCCACATTAGAAACCAGTCTTGCTTTCTGCCCAGCCCTATGCAGATAAAGGGCCTTACCACCAACTCTGTTGCAAGGAATGCAGGGCAGGGCAGAGGATCACAGATAAATTTTAATCCATGTGTCACAAACATTTGGGGGGTGATTTGGAACCAAGCGGAGAGGAAACCACGTACCTTTTAAAGCTTCATTGATGTAGCTCCTTAAGTAGTGTATTCTCCAAGTATCATTGAATCCCCCATCTATACGCTCTGAAATCCCATTCTCGGTCACATAAATAGGTGGGTCATTGTATTCTTCCTTGATCCACTTCAGGAGCCTCCTGAAGCCGAAAGGGGTCACCTTCAACCAAAAGGAACCAGAGCCCAGCCAGCTGCGGTCTGTTATAGAGGCAACACCCCTGCAAAAAAGAACATGATAATAATGTGGGAAAAGGTTATTTGTATTGATCCATTAAAGTCAGCTAGACATCAACCATGAAGACTGGTCAGCTGTAACCTCTTTTGTTGGGGGCTTAAGTGTGATGCAGTGTCCAATGCACTGGGTTTAGAGAGGAAAATGGGTGCTCAGCCTTAAAACTTTCTAGTAGATCACCAACTTGATGCCTTCCAGATGTTTTGGTATACAATTTCCGTCAGCTGCAGCCAGCCCAACCAAGATTATTAGGCACATAGTGAAAGCACAGATTCCAGAAAAGTATGCATGCTTTGATGCAGTATGAAGTCATGCTCACATCTTACCTATCAGCATCGTAGGATGTAAAGAGAGAAGAATAGTTTAAGTTGGATGCCAATACTGTTGTATAGTGGTTCAAACCAAAGAAGTCAAAGGTGCCTTTAATCCTCTGCTTTTCACTTTCAGTAAATTCAGGGAGTCTGCAACACACACAAAATGGAAGAGAGGCTCACATAGATGCATTTAACAAAAGGGAAAGCTTCAATTATCATCATACTTACTTTTTTAAAGAATAGGGCACTGTCATTCAGAGCGAAAGTACTGTTTTTAAAAGCAACAGCTGGTAGCTGGAAATTTTAACATGAACAGTAATGATGACCACATGTACTTCACCTTATTCAAAGAGCAGGTACTCTAAAAGACTAGTCCCCTGCTTTGTCTCAATCACCACCCTTTCCTGGTCCCTTGCTGTACTACAGTATTACAGGCTCTGAACATACCCTGGATGGAGGAGAAGGAACTTTCAATATAGGGTGGTTCTGTTTCAAGGGGAGTTTAGTCACAACTGTGCTTTAGCTGCTGATGGCATGCGGCATTAAGCAAAGAGGGCAGTACACACCAGGAGGAAAACAGCAGCACAGGAAAACTACTTTGGGGAGGGTAGATTTGTTCTTGGACACAGCCAGGGTGGCTCTTCAAAATGAGTGGTTTATTTTTATTTCAACGATTTAGATAGAATTGCTTCTAAGTGACATGAGCTAACAGTATGGACTGCCCATGGTTGTGGTCCAGCTGCTGCAGTTAGTCCTGCCAGACACTTACCTCGATTGGCCGGCACTTCTCTCTTGTATCCTCCTTTTCATCACCTCGCTATAGTCACCGTTTCTGAAGATAGGGTGAGCAAACCAACCAGCAAAGAACTACAACAGGGAAATAAAAAGGGATGCTTATTAAGCAACACTTTGGCAACAGGTCTCTTGGCTGACCCAATAATTACCAGTTCGTCAGACTGACCCAAAAGGCAAAGTCTCATCCCTGTCTCCAAGTGTCTGTTTTTAAAAGATAGTGCAACACCCCCCAAGGTATCCAAACAGTGGCAGCTGACTGGTCAGGATGGTGGCCAGCATTATGATTTGAATGTTCAGATGAAATATGGTGCCCAAGGATCAACACCTTGGGTCCTTTCAAAGGATTAACATCTTGTTTTGCTGAGTCTCTGAAGAAGAGTTAAGGACATAATACAAGAGCCTACTTGAGGAGGATAAAGGCCCACCTAGTCTAGCACTCTGTCCCCATAGAAGCCCCAAAGGGAAACCTGTGAGCAGAACCGGAGTGCAACAGCACTCTTCCCAGCAACTGGTACACAGAGGTTTACTGCCTCCAACAGTGGAGGAGTTTTGTAAGACAAGAGCGTTAGGTCACATCTGGCCTTTGCAATACAGTGTTGCTCCAGGTGGAAAAAGGCCTGCAAGGCAGGAGGTATGCATGCACAGCTTAGCTGCACAGAAGTGGAAGCGAGGTCAATCTGGGCACCATAGGCGGGAGCCCTATGTGGAGGGAGGGAGGGACACACACACACACACACACACACACACAAACTCCAATCATACCAAGACTGATCATTTATGCATTGACTGGAGGCCTGGCTGGTGCACATTCAGGAGCTAGTCCATGCGTTCTTGATAGCTTCTTCATGTGTTTGGTACCTACAGCTACCAAATGTCTGAGCAGAGGTTTTGTGTCTGCTCTTTCTCTAATTGGAAGAGCACATACCCATTAGTGTAGTCCTGGCTACTGCAAAGCTGGCAAAGGTGCTATACCGCAGACACTGCCCTAAGGAAGTGGAAGCAGGGTGTGTGGCTAAAATGTACAGACGTGGGTCCCTGTGGAGTCATCACATTACCTGGACATATCTCCTGGCAGCGTCGAGGTCCTCCTGCTTGGCAGGGTTCTTGGGTTCAGCCCACTCTACGCTGATGGAAAGAGAGATCAATCCTCCTTGCTTTGGGCGGTATGTTTCATTGTAAAGATGCCAGACTTCTGCGTGGGCCTTGATCAAGTTGTGGCCCACTATGTAAGGGGCTCGGCCTGGTCTGGCAGAGATGCCTAAGAAGACAACATGATTGGAAGTGCGTTATTCTGCAGCACTGGACTCAGCTGAAGCAGCAATTAATGGTGCATTTTGATAGCATTTCACAATATTTTTAGGCAATTTGACTTTCAACCAGGAGACACCTTCAAGAAAGGCATCAGACTGTCTCCCACCTTCACTGGGCATCTATCACAAAGCTGTGTTCTCACAAATAACCACACAAGTTCAGATCATCAGTGTCCTTTGGTTCTGTAGAGCATTGCTCTTGCCAATAAGAACCTACACCTTACCTGGAGCTGAGACTCCATAACCGTAACCAATGTTAGCAATGGCATAGGGCTCATTCAAGGTTATCCAGAATTTCACCTTCTCTCCAAATCTTTGGAAAAGGATCTCTGCATAATCTTTAAATTTCTGGATTATAGTCTCATTTTCCCACCCTCCAACATCTTGAAGGGCCTGAGGGAGGTCCCAGTGGTACATAGTTACCTAGAGGTGGAGACAAGACATTCACAAACATCTGCCATTTTGTCAAAATAACCAACCACCAAATTGTAGTAGGAAACAGGGGCAATGCAATGGGGGGGGGCATACAAAAGTAAAGCTAAATGTGAAGTTTGTCCATTATTTAACTATTAGGCACAGTCAGCCATTTTATGCAGATCTACCACATGTAACTCAACAACAATTCCCAGATTGCGATGGTCAGAAAGCAAACTATTTCCAGAAAACACGTGAGGATTAGCAACACCTTTTACAAGGCTATCAAGACTTTGAACGTAGCATCTTCAGTTCTCCCTTTTCCACCTTTCCCTGAACCCTCATTCAGTCAAGGAAAGTGAGAATCAAGAAAGGAGTACAATATGGGATGAACTTCAGAAGTTCTTGCGGCATGACCTGGAAGGTGTAACACAGATGGGACCTGCCATGCCTAATGGTGACCAGAAAAAGGCTAGAGTTTGGGAGCGGAAGATGAATTCCTGATAAAAGTTTATTCTACTTCCTTGTGGATACTTGGAAGAAATCCAATGCAGAAACTTAGATTTCTGGAGCAAAGACACTGCAGTCTCTGCTCTCTTAAAAACCAAGGCAGATTTCATAACTGTTAAGTCCTATACAAACACCCTGAGCCCACATTATCTTCTGCACAAGTTTAAAATAGGTAGAGCTTATAAGTGACTCCTCTGATTAGAATAGGGCAGCATGCATTTGTGTCAGCCTCTATGAAATGGTCTCTGACCATTTAACACAAGCTAATTGAAGATGTCTGAGAACTGAAGATATTGCCAGGTTCTACAGTGAACACTGATAAACATAATCTAATTAAAAATCAGACTGATAACATATGTTACACCTGTTCCCCTGCGTGCATAACTCCAATCATTTACCTGAGGCTGGATATTGGCCGCAAGGAGAGCATCCACAAGCCTTTCATAGTATTTCAGGCCAGCTTCATTTATGTACTTGGTGGTCCCATCGGGGAGAATGCGAGTCCAGGAGATGGAAAAGCGATAATGAGTCACCTGGAGGTCCTTCAGAATAGCCAAATCTGCCTCCATCTTGTGGTAGCTGTCACAAGCTACATCTCCATTTTCATTGTTGCTGATTTTCAAAGGCGTATGTGCAAACTGGTCCCAAATGCTGAGACCTTTCCCATCCGCTCTCCATGCCCCTTCGATCTTTAAGGAAACAAATATTTCTCACATTTGTATCCCAGCTCAAGGCAACATACACGCCCCAGTCTCAGTTTTTATCCTCACAACAACCTCATGGAAGTAGGTTAGGCTGAGAGCGACTAGGCAAAGGTTGCCCAGTGAGCTTCATGGCTGAGTAGGAATCTGAACCAGGGTCTCGCCAACCTTAGTCCACCATTTTAATCCAGGCTTCCCCAACACGGTGCCCTCCAGATGTTTTGGACTACAACTTCCTCAGCCACAAGCTGACTGGCCAATGGTCAGGGACGCTGGGAATTGTAGATCAAAACATCTGGAGGGCAACAGCTTTGGGGGGGAGGAGGCAGCTCTAACCACTATATCACCCTGGCTCTCACCCTAGTGATTCACCATCATCAAGGTCCCCAAGCCTGACAGCATTCAGCTTGCTTAGTTGGCATATTATTCACAAAATGAAGGTTTAGGATAGCTTCCACCAAACAACCAACCGTCTACCAATAGATTACCTAAACCTGGAGTTTCATTCATGTGGTCTGCAGCATGACGGCAAATCTGTGGTTGAAGACTCGCACATCCATGCCATTAAATCCTTATTTGCATTTTTATGGCTTCTTGTTGCTCCTTTTATTTCTTATATATTTATATATTACAGAATTCAAATTTCAGTACAATAAAATATGACAGGTAAGGAACAAAAGAAGCAATTAAACTGCAATTAAGTATCATACAGCATCTAGCACAGTGCATTGCAATTGCCACCAGAAGTAGAAAAATCATTAAGCTGCTCTGCGATTTTTCAAGTGGTCCGGTGGGTGGGGAACAACTAACCTAACCTGATATGCTGCTGATGCCACACTCCAATAAAAGTTCTCCGGAAATTCTCCGTAAAGGAATTCTTCCTCCTTTGGCAGAGGGATTCCATTTTGACGTATGATTCCAGCATAATATATCGCTGAACGTTTTGGAGTTCTTGGCCTGTTCGGATTTTCAAAATCAACCTGGTGAAGGCCGAATCTTGGCTCGTAACCATTTAACCATTCAAAACTATCCATGAAAGACCAAGCAACATAGCCACGAACGTTCACGCCGTCCAGCTTGTAGGCTAAAAGAGAAAGAAACACTTGCTTAATAGACCATCAATGTAACGATGAGCAAGAAAGTAGAATTGTGAAAAAATACACTAATTACCCATTATATGTTCACATGCATATTAATAGCCAATCCTTGCCAATTCACAAGTCCCACTGACTTACTCCCTTTCCACAAGCACTATTTATTTATTTAAATTACATACCACCTTTTTCTCCCAGTACAAGAGCAGGAGATAGATAGATGATAGATAATTAATAAAATAAATTAATTAATAAATTAATAAATAAAAAATGGAAGGAATTTGCACCATATTTCATTTCCGCTTACTTCATACTCATGCATTTTCAAGGATAGCAAATCCCCAAACCAGGCTTTACTAATCTTTATGAATTACATACCTTTAAGAAAGATCAAAAATTATATTTATTATAACTATAATTCAAAACCATTATCAAGAAAGGAAAGAAAAAAGGCCTTCTGCATACTTTACTGACGTTTTGTACTTATTAAAACACTATTGACTGTGACACAGAGGCTGCGGTTGACCAGACTAATTTAATGCATGTAGCAGAAACAACCCTCACGTGTAGCTGTTTGGATAATCCACGGTTTGAGGCCTGTAGCCAGACATTTTGTAGAGAACAGAGGAAGGCCTGAGGGGTTCAGAACAGTTTCAGAGCAATCAGAATATAAATACAAGTAGCCTAATATGTTTAAAGCTATTTAATTGGGCTCGGTGTTAAAACATGGGCGTGTAAAGTAAATTTCAGGAGGAACACAACCTTGATTGATCCAGACTCTAGCATGAAGGGCTGTAACCCTTGTAACCACCCACCTTCTCTTGTGCTCTGGATCAATACCCTTGATCTAGCAATATACTTTAAAAAAAACCCAATCACATAACTGGTAATGGTGTGACCAGTGTGTTGTCTAATTTGGCACTCACGGAGTTCTTTTAATGATGCCTTGTGACATATAAGCCTTTTGTGCTGACTCTGCACAGTTTGGGAATGACTGATCTAGAATCTAAAACTAAAACTAGTCTACACAGACCTCTAACTGATTATTTAGCTGATTACATTGAGCAAACTTCTATTTTTACCCAGTATCTTAAAACTAGACAACCTCAACCTATTGGGTTATTACAACATCTTTACCTTTCAAAACTTCATCAATGTGTGTTTTGTAATAGAAGATCCTGCTGGTGTCATCAACATCAGACTTGGCTTTTAGCCCAACCCCGTTCTCAGTAATGTAAATGGGAGGATTGCTATATTCCTCTTTGATCCAGTTTAGCAGCCTACGCAGCCCCCAGGGCACTGCCCGCATATTTTCCATTGCTGAGCTAGGCCAAGAAGGGTCAATCTCCAATACTCGTTCTTGATCATACTCGTAAGAATATGGTTTCAGCCTGGTGGTGCTGTGCTTTATAATTCCGGCAGTGTAATAATTCAGGCAGAAGACATCGGCTGTGCCCCTGATATAATCTTTCTCTTCTTGTGTGAAACCTGGAAGCCGGGAAGATGGTAGTTTCTGTAGTTCACTCCTGTTCCCTACTTTCCACTTCATTGCATCTGGGTAATCGCCGTTTTTAAAAATTGGGTGTGCAAACCACCCTCCCATGAACTGCAGGTAGCGATCAGCGGCTTCTACATCCCGAGGATCGCTTAGTGTCTTTGGCTCAACCCAATCCATGTTGAGACTCAGAGAGATCACACCTTTCTGACTCTCTCTGTATTTCTGGTCATATGTGTGGTAAACTCTTGCATGGGCCTTTAGTATTGCATGAGTAACACTGTAGGATGCACTGCCCGGATTATCTTTTACATTTGGTGGGAATAATCCCGTATCGTAGCCTAGCACAGAGATGGCAATAGGTTCGTTGAAAGTAATCCAGAACTTGACCCTGTCTCCAAATGCCTGAAAACAAAAGTCTGCAAAACTATCAAACAGTTCAACCATCACAGGGTTTTCCCAGCCACCAATGTCTTGTAGAGCTTGGGGCAGATCCCAGTGGTGGAGAGTGACCATTGGTGTGATGTTCTGGGCCAGCAAACCATCAATCAGCCGGTTGTAATAATCGACACCATAGTTATTTATAGAATGGTTTCTTCCATTTGGAAAGATCCGAGGCCACGCCAGGGAGAAGCGATAGGTGTTTACCCTTAAGGCTCTCAGCAGATAAAGATCTTCATCTACTTTATTGTAGCTATCGCAAGCTATATCTCCTGTATCATTGTTCTTAATATTCCCTGGGATGTGGGTAAAATTATCCCAGATGCTAGGTCCCTTCCCATCTGCATCCCAACCTCCTTCAGTTTGGTAGGCAGAAGTAGAAACACCCCACAGAAAATCTTCTGGGAAGGTGCCATAAAAATACATGTCTCTTTCCAAATCAGTCTGTTTTGAAAATTTCTCCCAAACCACCTTTGCCTTTGAAGGAACTTCAGAAGCTGGTAAACTAGGCAGCTGTGGAGGTATGGAAACATCCTTTCTGAGCGGCTGGAGAAATTTTCTTGAGACCGTGCTAGGAAATCCATTATTTTCAATAATGGTGGAGAAGAAATAGGCAGATTCTTTGGGTGTCCTTTGTCTGTTTGCATCTTCAAAATTCACTTGGTGTAGGCCAAACCTTTGACTGTAGCCTGCTGGGCCTTCAAAGCCATCAATCAATGATCGGGCAATGTATGCTTGAACATCAACTTCATCTTGCTTTATAGCTGTCAATGAAGGAGATAGAATTTAGTTAAGATTTTTAATCATTTGTTTAAATACATAGCACAACCACAACTATCTTCTTCTCTCAGCATTGCAACTATTATTGCTATTCATCTGCACATTTGAATTTCCTTTTAAAGTCATTTGCATGTAAGAGACAATATACAAAATGGCATAGGGAAGTGATAATGCACTTAAGCAGTTCAAGGACTTTGGCCAGTTCACACAGGCATCCTCATCATTACTCAACTATACAGTACTTGGCTATACAGTACCTGGAAGAATACTTCCAGATGTATAAAGTAGCAGCCAATCATTTTATTTGGCTTTGAGCAGCAAGTGGAACAGCAAATCTTTTTCAGACGTCTGGAATCTACGTGGCATTCTGTAGCCAGGTGTGCAGTTCTTTTCCCCAGCTCTACATTAAAAGGTAAAGGTAAAGGACCCCTGACAGTTAAGTCCAGTCATGAACGACTCTGGGGTTGCGGCGCTCATCTCGCTTTACTAGCTAAGGGAGCCAATGTTTGTCTGCAGAATGTTTTTCTGGGTTATGTGGCCAGCATGACTAAGTCGCTTCTGGCGAACCAGAGCAGCGTCAGAAATGCCGTTTACCTTCCCGCTGTAGCGGTACCTATTTATCTACTTGCATTTTGACATGCTTTCGAGCTGCTAGGTTGGCAGGAGCAGGGACTGAGCAACAGGAGCTCACCCTGTCGCGGGGATTCGAACTGCCGACCTTCCGATCAGTTAGCCCAAGGCTCAGTGGTTTAGACCACAGTGCCACCCACATCCCAGCTCTACATTAGGATCATGTTTATATATTCCCTCCTCACTTATAGCACTGCAGATCGTGTATTCTTTCCCAGCCACCACACCCGCAATTTAATGGCGGGGGGAGGAGTGAGAGAGAGAGAAAAGAACCATATATAAGACAATTCTGTTTGTGGCATGCAATCTTTGATGGCTCACTCCTATCAGTAAATCACTACAGGATACAGGAGTGACCAAAAGTAATGAAGATGCAAGGTGTGAACTATCGTTCTCATGTTCAGGCATTCAGGGGTTACAAACTAGGCATTCCTTGATGTCCTTTATCATGGGGTGACAAAATATACTCTGGCTGGGATGAATGCATTAATTACATAGTTTTCCACCAGGCTCAACTCAAAAGAGCATCCAGACCTGTTTGGAGTTGCAGAGCAAAACAGTTCTGCATCTTCTAAGCAGGCAGGACAAAACATGATAGCTAAGCAAGTAAGTCTCAGGTGATGTCCTCCAAGCCAACCTAGGTAAGCAACCTGTGTATTTCATATACTGCATTTAAGCTGCTTTTCTAACACTGTATGCCTATTACCCGGCAAAACTGTTCTTTTGAGGACATTTAATTAAAGTATTAAATTTGCTTCCGATAAGTTAGGTCAGTGTCTCAAACAATTTTTAAACAAACGAATATCATCACATTTAAAAAGTGATGTTTGCATGCCATTTTCACATGGTGAACATATCTACTCATTCCATTCCTTTCCCCACTGGGACGGGGCATGATATTTACCGTATGCTGGAGATTGACAGGAATGTGATAAGATCATGGAGGATATTGTGTTGAAAGGGAACAGGGGGCTAAGTCAATAAACTTGAATTCATCCTGAGAGGTTTACTTTCAATTCCCTTTTGCATGCCTGTTCCCTGCCCCAATTCATAACAGCCCCTTGTACCTTTCAAAGCCTCATTGATATAAAGCCGGTAGTAATCCACTCTCACGGTGTCGTTAACAAGATCTCCTCTGTCATCTGTCGGCGCCCCATTGTCTGCTATATAAATCGGAACCCTTGTTGTCCCAGTATATTCTTTGGACACAAACAGCAGCAGTCTCCTCAGTCCCCAAGGCACGGCGTAGAGCCAAGGTGCGGCCGTCTGCGGCCAAGAAGGATCCACGTGTTGGGAAAAGTCTCCAATATCCTCATAGTTTGGAGCGCAGCTATGATTCACTGGAGCACTGATGAGCCTGGAAGTGTAGTGGGAAAGGCCGAAGAAGTCAGCCGTCCCCTTCACTTGCTGCTTCTCCTCATCGGTGAACGCGGGGAGCTTGGCGACGGGAGTTGAGCACTGCTGGTTCTTCTCCTGGATCTGGGATTTCAGGACTTCTGGGTAATCGCCGTTGACGAATATCGGGTGAGCAAACCAGCCCAACATGAAGTGCAAGTAGCGTTCTGCCGCTCTCACATCCTCGGCACTGCTTGGGGTCTTGGGTTCAGCCCAGTCTGAATTCAATACTATTCCCACCTTCCCATGCTGTTCAGGGCGGTACTTGGTATCATAAACATGCCAGGCTCGAGAATGAGCTTTGAGAATAACATGAGCCACCTTTTTTATGGGAAGGAAGGAAAAAGTATTATTCCACTGAGTACAACTCACTGGTAAGGTAAAGGTAAAGGTACCCCTGCCTGACAGGGCCAGTCGTGTCCGACTCTAGGGTTGCGTGCTCATCTCGCTCTAGAGGCCGTGAGCCGGCGCCGTCCGAAGACACTTCTGGGTCACGTGGCCAGCGTGACGAAGCTGCAGCTGGCAAGCCAGCCCACGCGCGCACGAAACCCGTTTACCTTCCACATAAAGCTACTATTAACTTGCACTAAGGTGCTTCGAATGCCAGAGCTGGGACATGACAGAGCTACCCCGCCACGGATTCGAACCGACATACCAGGCAATCCTAGGCACTGAGGTACCCACGCGCACCCACGTCCCTAACCAGTGATACAGTGAGTCACTCACGTTTAGAGGAAGCCCACATTCACTTACATATCTATATACAGTTGTGTATCTTCGGGTTACATACGCTTCAGGTTACATACGCTTCAGGTTACAGACTCTGCTAACCCAGAAATAGTACCTCGGGTTAAGAACTTTGCTTCAGGATGAGAACAGGAAATCGTGCAGTGGCAGCAGGAGGCCCCATTAGCTAAAGTGGTGCTTCAGGTTAAGAACAGTTTCAGGTTAAGAACGAACCTCCAGAACGAATTAAGTACTTAACCCGAGGTACCACTGTAAATGCTAGGGAAGGCCTCTGCTCGAGACTTTGGAGAATTGGTTTCAACTGCAGCAGAGAAGGGTAGCCAATATGGATTCCCTCCAGATGTTGTTGGACTCCCATTAGGCCCAGTCAGCATGGCCAAAGGTCAGGAATGGGGGGGGGGAGTTGTAGCCCAACAACATCTGAAGGTACAACATTGGACTACGCTTGGGCTCGCTGGACCAAGTAGAAAGACAGGTTTATACGTACACACCATGGATATTTACAGCCCAGTACATTTCCTCATAACATTCAAATGATATTTGAGGGGCCAAAGCTCCAACCCCCTCCCACCTCAAGGCTTATAGAGATCAGATAATTATAGCAGCTTTTTGTCATACCTGAGCTCAAAATCAAGTTTGTACCACGTCATAAGGAACACTTACTACAGTCTGCAATGCAGGAAACAGTTCCTTCAAAAGCAAGAGAACTACCTTCTCACTTATTTGCTTGCTGCTGCAACATTTCCAGTCCCCAACATCTGAAAACATGGCTGTAGTATATGGTATTGTAGTATCAATAAAAGTATCTGTCCTAAACTGGTTTCAATTCCAGTCTGCTCAAGATTCCATTTCTTCCCCCAACTCCTTTCTTTTGGAAGCCAAAGCGTTCCAACAACTAAATCTAAATTAGCCTATATTCCAAGTAACTGGTAACATGATATACGCTCATGTGGCAGAAACTATTCCCAGAGCAGGCTAATCCAGGTCTGTCTACAGGCTGATACATGTGCTGCAAGTATTCAGAAACTGTCCATCAGCCAGTCTCATGGCAGGACAGTCACATGATGGATAGCTGTGTGGTATTTGTAAGGCAATAAAAAAATCCCTGGGATTCTTCCCTGAAGATGTCCTGACATCTACTCAGTTATCTGTTTTGATGTATGGTTACGAAATCCTCACAAATCTGCCAGGAAATATCGAATGTGCCGGTTGTTCTCATTGTACCACCTGCTTATACATTCTGTTTTAGAAGTTCATTATAAGATACCCGATATTGGAAACCTTTGCCAACCCCTTTTAATCTTTTAAAACCCCTTGAAGCACAATAACCTAATAAAACTCTTTTCTTCCTCCTTATACGGCCTAGGACCCTCGTACCTACGGGACCGCCTCTCCTGGTATGCCCCACAGAGAAACCTACGGTCTGTAAATAAAAACATCCTCAAGGTCCCAGGCCTCAGAGAGGTTAGGCTGGCCTTAACTAGAGCCAGGCCTTCTCGGCTGCGGCTCCAATCTGGTGGAATGCTCTGTCACAAGAGACTAGGGCCCTGCGGGACCTGACATCTTTCTGCAGGGCCTGCAAGACAGAGTTGTTCCACCAGGCCTTTGGTCAGGGCGCAGCCTGACTCCCTCCTCTGGCAACCTGCACAGTACTTTGGTTGCCATCAATTTGATTTTAATTAATTTTTATAATGAAATATTTAGAATGTGTGATTATTCAACTATTGGTTATTTGATTGTTGTTAGCCGCCCTGAGCCCAGCTTCGGCTGGGGAGGGCGGGATATAAATAAAATTTATTATTATTATTATTATTATTATACCTAAGTGGTGCTCAAACATTCTGATACACTGCTCAACTGCGCTATGCCCTCAAGTGTGGAAGGAGAGAAAAATTACTTTTGCTGATCCAAGAGATTCCTAGTCTACTTGTAGATATGGGTTTAAAGTTGCTTATTTGGACAACCACTTCTGAATATATAGGATGCCAAATATACAGTGGCCCCTATCAGGAGCAAGATACAGTGGTACCTCGGGTTAAGTACTTAATTCGTTCCAGAGGTCCGTACTTAACCTGAAACTGTTCTTAACCTGAAGCACCACTTTAGCTAATGGGAGGTCTCCTGCTGCTGCTGCGCCGCCGGAGCACGATTTCTGTTCTCATCCTGAAGCAAAGTTCTTAAACTGAAGCAATATTTCTGGGTTAGCGGAGTCTGTAACCTGAAGCGGATGTAACCTGAAGCGTATGTAACCCGAGGTACCACTGTAATGGGTTGTTGTTTTTCACAGTGCATGGAAATGCTTCTGAGGGTCCCTTCCAATGCTACACAACCAGTGTCTCTCTAACCACACTGCGGCCACTTCCAATACTACCCTGTAGTGCCAGAAGTACATGCAAGGAATTTGTTCTATGCTGTGACACCTTTCCCTGTCAGTATTGTTCCAAGCCCTGGGAGGGACAACTCTCTGACATGGGAAGAAGCCAAGTGGTGTAAGAGCCACGAGAGAACGGCTTCCGTGCCACCACAGTTCCATTGGCAGAGACCCTTCTCTGGAATGTATCATGTCAATACCACTAAGGTAGACAAGAGAGCCATTTCAGAATGGAAAAAGCACAAATCCAGCCAATTTCAATTTTTTTCATTCATGTTATCTGATGTTTAAGTGAAAACATCTGGGGGTTCAAAGCCATCCTCTGAACAAGAACAGTGACCAACTGAAGGGTCAACTGCGTGCTCACACACTTGCTATCTATAATATCAAGATGGTTGATATTATAGAACACGGCAGCCTGACCAGACTTAAAAGACTCATCTGCCCATTGACTCCATTCGTGCCCTCTGGCAAAATCAGACATGGGGCCAAGTCTGGTGAGAGAAGAACTAGCCACAGACTAGGAGGCAATGGTCCACCTTTTTATTTGTGGAGTCAACACAACCCGTAAAATTAGGCCCAAGCTGCTGCACTTGTTGTCAGTACCTGATAGGATGCCACGGCTGGATCAGTAATTCCTGGAGGATGCTGCCCAGTGCCATAGCCAGCGTAGCTAATGACCCAGGGTTCGTGGAAGGTAATCCAGAATTTAACACGATCCCCAAAAGTGGCAAAGCAGAACTCTGCATATTCTGCAAAGGCAGTGACGATGCTCTCGTTTTGCCAGCCACCAAGATCCTGCAGAGCTCGTGGCAGGTCCCAGTGGAACAAGGTCACCACGGGCTCAATATTTGAATCCAGCAAGCTGTCTATCAGTTTGTTGTAGTAATCTACGCCTTGAGGGTTCAAGCTGCTCTTACTCCCATTGGCAAAAACCCTAGGCCAGGATATAGAAAATTTATAGATATTTGGGCGAAGGCCTCTAAGGAGATAAACGTCATAATCCATCTTGTGGTAGCTATCGCATGCGACATCGGCTGTTTGATTCATGTGGGCATGGCCCTGGTGCCCGTATTGATCCCAAATGCTCTCGCCTTTCCCACCCTCTCTCCAGGCTCCTTCCACATTGAAGGAACCTGTTGATGTGCCCCAGAGAAAACCACTAGGGAAAAGGTCAAGCAAGAAGGAGTCTCTCTCCTGCTCAGGTTGGCTGGCAAATCTTTCCCAAACTGCTTGATAGGATGAAAGTGGAGCAATAGTAGGTATCAGGGTTTCCTTTGCCTTTGGTTGGCCGGCCAGATTTCCTGTGTACAAGCTAAAAAAGGGAAAGAGAGAATATGTCAACAATTTAGGCACCAGGCATAAATGTTCCTCTTCTCCCAGGCCTCTGGCTAATTAAACAATCTATGGTCGTTCAAAATAGGGGAGGGGGTCATTGTTTTATTTGTTACTATGTTGTGTATTTTTGTATTGTAAACTACCCTGTGATCTTCAGAGGAAGGGCAGAACAGAAATGCAGTAAGTTAAATAAATAAATCAAACTTTTATTATCATTAAATTTTTATTTAGGATGGATAAGCATTCAAATCAGGCTGAAATTAGAGATTTCAAATATCGTGGGTATCAAACGTACAGAAATTTATCCAGTTTTTTTGGGTTTTTTTTAATATGGCAAGCCTAAATCTGTGTAACAATTATCATATATATGTATATAGATTAGCGGTGGGGAATCATAGGCTTTGGGACTAATTGTGAACTGCTGGACCTGTCTATGTGGCCCTCAGGATTCTCCCCAGGCCACTGAGGAGGGTGCAGAGAGCATTGGCCCTGCTCTCTGCACCCTCCTCAATGGCTTTCGCATGGCTAGACTGTGTCCTTGAACTGTGATAATGTCTCTTGCCTTCTTGGATAGAGAAATAGGTGGAACCTCTGGCTTTCTGTAGCTGGAACGTAGCAACGTAGGAGTCACATTGATTGCTCCACTCAATTTTAGCACTGTCCCCGCCCACTATCACCACTGCCATGTGGCTCCCAGAAGGTTGCTCACGACAGAATGTGGCCCTTATCCCTGAATAAAAGAAACTCTAACTATTCCGCTAAACATACAGCAAGCCAAGATTCATAAAGCCTGCTAGTCTATGTTCCGTATTTATATGACACAGTTGAAACCTTATTTGCTATATCCTGATTAAATATACATATACCCAGTGCTTTCTGTAGTTAAAAAAAAAAAAAAAGAGCTGGCAGGACTCATACCTTGAAAAAATAAAATTGGTGCCAGCACAAAATGGCTGCCAATGTCAGCAACAACAAGAACAAAAAAAAGTAACAGTATTGCATACCATAGAGTACCATCATTGGAATATACCTCTATATTAGACACTTGTATACACATGCACACACGTATGCATCCAGAAACACACATACACACACAAACAAACATATTCCTGTGTAAGGACTGCAGTCTTAATTGTGCAAGTAGCACAGCTTCATAACCAAACTAATTTAACATTAAAAATAAACATTTTGTACCAAATTGATTGAACGGACGAGCTGTTCATGACGCAATTCACATCATACCCTATTGCCCATGCTTGAACTTCAGAAATGGCTGAAAATAGAGGGGCGGGGGGAGGGGGATGAAGGAAGAGAAGAGAAGTTTATCAGCACAATGGAAAAGGGCAGACACTACGCCAGTAACATCCTATGCTATAGTTCTTTTACAGTGAAGCCCCACTTCCTGTAAATAGTACAAGGTCTCTCTCGTACAATAATAGTGGGGACAGGCAGTAGTGGGGAGAGACTTGGCTCATTTCCACCAGGAGCTGTGCATTCAGTACTGTGGGCCCAATTCTGTGGCACTTTCTCACAACTGAGATCAGACAGCAGCCCCCTCCCCCCCACCCAGGCGAAATTGGTGAAGGCAAATTTTTCATTTCAGCAGGTGTTTAAAATAGCTTTTCTGATTTTACTGTTAACTTTAACCAATTCTATCCTCAGTAAATCTTTTGTAACTTTACTGTATACCACTTGGAGACCACGCTATTAGGTGATATATAAAGGGTTGAAATAAATACATACATATACGGACGACAGCATAGCCTGTATTGTATTTCCACTTCCACCCACACATCCAAAATACCACACAGGCAAGCCACAAGACCACAGTTCCTTCCTACAGAAAACACTTACCACTGAAAATGGAAGCCACTGTTGCAAATCGGGTTTCTTGCAAGGAGGGACACTCGTGGAACTTGAGACTAAAGAGCAAAATACCCATATTGTTCGTCCCCATATGCTATAAGAGAAAAAGCAAAGCAAAATGCATGAGTTGTATCAAGGAGGACTGTCAAAACTGTGTGACATCACCTCCCGTGTCCATCTATAACAGATAGCATCCATAGAACGCTTGGCACAATTGCTAAGAATTACCTGTAGCTCATCCAGGAACTTTTGGAAAGCTGCTTCCCTTTCACAGTTGTACTGAAGGTTGAGAGAGAGAAAGTCTAGAGAGTCCTGGAATCAAAACAGAGAATTGTCACAGAGAGATATAGCATTTATAATAACTGAAGTTACACTTTAGGCAGCAGGAACATCTATTATTATTTTATATTTGGAACCAGAGTATCATTGAATATAAGAGGATGGTTCCTCTATTGACATTCTTCCTTATTACCTAGGTGGGATTCAATTGGGCAAGATTTTGGCTTGCACCATGGGGCTCCTCCCTCCTCTCCCCAAGTCCCTAAAATTTACTCAGGGGAGGGTGTTGCGAGGACACCCAGAAAAGCACACAAGAGTAGGGGAGATCATTCCATCTGACTAGCCGAAATGCTCTCCCTAACGGAATGATTGACATAGTGCGCCGTAAATTACGTAACAATTAACTCCGCCTCATTCTCAAATAAAAAATCATTAACGTGTCACCAATTTTCTTGGAGAGCTCTTTAACTGAAGTTTCATGGGGTGAGGGTTAAGAGAAATTCTGAATCATCTTGCATGTCATGCTTCTGGTTTTCCCCCCTCACATGTAAAATGCCATTTTGAAAAATAATGAAAGGTTGGTAAATGATCTTTAAGAGTGATAAATTAAAATAGTTAAAATAGATATATTTTAACTATATATGAAAATGAAAAATGGGTCTGTGGGTTGACATTTTCAGGGAATACCTCTGGTTGTTATGAGGTAAAAAGGTAAATAAAGGATCGCTGGACGGTTAAGTCCAATAAAAGGTGACTATGGGGTGCAGCGCTCATCTCACTTTTCAGGCCGAGGGAGCCAGCGTTTGTCCACAGACAGCTTTCTGGGCCAGCATGACTAAACCGCTGCTGGCGCAACGGAACACCGTGGTGGGGACCAGAGCGCATGGAAATGCCGCTTACCTTCCCACCGCAGTGGTACCCATTTATCTGCTTGCACTGGTATGCTTTCAAACTGCTGGGTTGGCAAAAACGGGATAGAGCAATGGGAGTTCACCCTGTCGGATGGAGTCGAACCACTGACCTTCTGATTAGCAAACCCAAGAGGCTTAGTAGTTTAGGCCACAGCACCATCCACACCTCCGAATTATGAGAAAGTGACAACTATGTATCTATCTAGAAAGAGGCAACTCTGGTTTGGCAAATAACTTCCAGAGTTGTAACTTGCCCAGGGAGCTTATGGGGAAGAACAGTTAAGATATCTTATAAAACAAGCAAATAAACAAGCCACTGATATGCCCACCCTTCAATCATTTGTCTAACCCCCTTTTATAACCATCTAAGTGGCAATGGGTTTCACAAAAGAATTACGCATTGAAATAATTTCTTTCCTCTGGCTTTACTGGATATGCTGTTGTAAGAGTCCCAAGAAAATAAAAGGCGTTACCAGAATTGAAGTCAATAAAGATCTTGCTGACACCAGCCCAGCATCACTAACATCTAGTGAAATGGACACTTTCCCATCTGTAAATGAGAAAAAAAGTATGTTGTCAATTTTATTTTCAAAATTTCAATGCAAGGAGAGGGGGAATGGTGAGGGAATACTTTCACTAGAAGCAATCTCCAGGAATTCCTTTATAGTTTTCTCATTATATACTGTATTGGCCTGAATATAAGCCTCACTTTCCCCCCAAATTCTGATTGAAAAGTTAAAGTGCGGCTTAAATTCGCGACCTTATAAAATGGGCTTTTACGATATCGCTGCTGAAACAGACATACTGTAAAACGGTATGGGCATGAGTGCCTGCAGAATTTTAAGGGAGCAGCTTATATTCAGGTATTGGTTTTTTTCTCCCCCCCCCTTGAATTTTAAAGGTGCGGCTTATATTTGAGTGTGGCTTATATTCGGGCCAACACGGTAGTGACATCAACATTCATGTGCTTTACAAACTGATCTCTGCCCCAAGAAGCTTACATTCTAAGGTTGGTGGAGTATACTGCATGTAATATATTCAAGTAATGTGCGTTCGTCTGAATGAACTTCTGCTTAGTATCAGGAGGAGGAGGACAACACTTAAGCCTTAATGGAAAAAGTGTGGGCTGAGAGATTTGAATGAAGAGATCGTTCTGATTTTAGCAGTGTTCTCTCCGCATCATTCTTAAATATCATAAGGCTCCTTGGCCCATTTGTTCAGCAGACAAGAAATAATTTTGGCAGGAGTCTTAGAAAGATGGCGCAGGACAATGACTGGGGCCATCTAAGAGGCCTGGTGGGCCAGAAAAGAAGAAGTCAAAGGATTTTTTTTCTTAAATGAAAGACGTCCCTCCCCTCCCAGCAAGAGAGTGATCAGAACTTCCAAGGCCTGTGCAGTATGGAGTCTTCCATATGCATTTCATTCACATGCACACCCCATACGCATAGTTCATGTTACATTATCCAGAGGCACATCCCATGTTCCCTCCTCCCCACCAATTTCTTTACCTTCTGCTGAGTATTTTTCATGGTAGATTTCATAAGCTTTCTCATGTGCTGAAGCTAGCAAAGGGAGGGCCAGCGGATCTCCATGAGGCAAGCGCTCTACGTCCTCAGGCAGGCTGCCAAAAGTGAGCCAGGTGTCCACCAAGTCACCAAAAGACGCAAAGGAAAATTCTGCATATTCCACGAAAAGGTCGGTGAAAGTCACAGATTTGCTCAAAGCAAGCCGGGTCTCCAAAGACTTCGGCAAACGTTTCTGATGTAGAATTAAAACCGGTTCGATGTCAGCTGCTTTGAGAGTTCTCAGAAGTTGTCTGTAGCATTCAACGTTCGTCCGGTTGGGGTTTCGGGCATTTGCCTCTGGAAGGATGCGAGTCCAAGGCAAGAAGACTTTAAAATGGGTGACACCACTTGCACGGAGCTCAGCGAAGTACGGCGGCAGAGAAGGTAAGGAAGGCCCATCGCAAAGATAGTCTGACTGTCCCGTTGCAGAATTGAGAGGTTCTCTTAGAAGTCCACTTTGGAAGTTTAAATTACTTACTAAGTCATCGCTAAGAGGGCCGGCGACTAAAATAAATTTCTGAGTAAGATCCCAGCCTACTCCAAAGCAAGGCAAAGGAAACAAAAAAACCAAACACACCTTGTACACCAGTGCCATATCTGCTAATGCAATGGTGGAAGAACTTGTGCCACTCTTATACTACATCAGAGATAATAAAATTAACAACTTGTGCAATCACGAAGATGCAAAGTTCCCTAACCTCAACGTACACAAAGATAAGACAATCAAAGGTTTAAGTCCCACTGAAGGTGCTATTATTAATGAATCATATGCAGAGTATTGAAGAAATGAAGTTGCTGGGCTTAACAATACAGGCCTGAATGCAGATATTGGAAAAGTCCATTTAGATAACCAGAAGATGCTAAAATGCAGGGCTCCCAAATCTAAGCTGCTAACACAAGTGCAGAGAATTGGAAGGAAAACAGTTAAAGTTCCCCTCGATAAAAAAACAAACTTGTTTTCTACCCAAAGTTTACTCTGAGATCAGAATAAGAAAATAATAGTAAAAAACAGGATGCAGAAACTCTTAATCACAGAATAGACAGCATGTCAACTATGATTATTGTGTGGGCTTGTCTTCCATTTTAAAATAAAAACAGGAACTGACACTGGTGGGGCGGGGGCGACGACAATGACAAGTGACCCTTCCTCCTGTGCCTTTTCCTCACCCCAAGTTACTGCCACCCAGATACTTTGGGAGCAAATAGCCGGGGGTGAGGATTGTGGTCAGGAAAACAGCATGTGTGGGAAGTCAGACCTGCCCTTGCATGCCATGGCCTGCATTCCCATCCCTGTATTGATAAAACCAAGTGCAGGCCTGGGATAGAGCCTCACATGGCAAATGTATCTATTCATGGTCTTAATGTGTTTCTGTGTGAAGGTCTGTCCACATGGTGAGGGTGAAATCATCATATTCATACCAAGTCCAAAACATTTAAGCCTCTAATTCAAGCATTGAACAACAGATCCCAAATCTGGTTTGGAGCCACTGCTTTATAGAATCCTATTTAAAGTGGCGTTTGGGCCTATTTCCGTAGCGAAAAAGAAAAAGAAATCATTTTGTATATAAGGAATACTTTATTTTTCACAAATTAAGATAGGAGTCAAGGGGACCCACAACATAAGATTATGCTACAGAGATGCAGAAAAAAGTATGTAAAAAGCATAAAAGGAGCTGAGGATATGGAAGTTTTGTTCTAAACAGCTGCCCTGTTAGTTTGCAGGGCCCTTTTTCTGGAAAGGAATGGAGAAGCTTTTCCCTTAATAAAAGAGAATTAAAAAGAGAAGGTGGGTGAATTATGTGACAAAGCTTTTTTTGGGTAGCCAACTATGTACAACAGTGATAGACAGATAAGATCTAAAATTAGCCAGTTGAGTGCTGGTCTTCAATAGGGAATGGATACGATGTGACTGTAGAATTGTTTCATAATCCCTAGTCTTCCAATAAGTAGTTAGGATTAACTACAAGGTAAGGGTCTTCTTCATCAATGTTCTGTCCTTCCACGGAATCTTTCAGCCCTGTCTGTGTGAGCTCAATTAGAATGTGGTCCTGAAATACAGAGAGCCTCAGTCAGGCCATGTTCTGAAGAGTCCTAGGTCACACGTTGTAAGACACCCCGGTCACAAGCATACAAGCATACTTACTTCAAAGGAAAATGTCATTGCTTTAAAGCAGGATTTACAGTGGTACCTCGGGTTACATACACTTCAGGTTACATATGCTTCAGGTTACAGACTCCGCTAACCCAGAAATAGTACCTCGGGTTAAAAACTTTGCTTCAGGATGAGAACAGAAATTGCACGGTGGCTGCGTAGCAGCAGCGGGAGGCCCCATTAGCTAAAGTGGTGCTTCAGGTTAAGGACAGTTTCAGGTTAAGAACAGACCTCCTGAACAAATTAAGTACGTAACCAGAGGTACCACTGTACTTCCAATTGAGCAATTAATATCATGCCCTCTTCATCTCCATTTCTCACAAAGCTTATGTGCGCCAGAACTAAAGGCTACCACCAACAGCTCATCAAGTGCATTCTTCTGCATATCTACTTGGAAGAATGTACTACTGATTCAGTGAACTGATTCCAAGTATGTGCAGTATTGCAACCTTAGATTACAATCATATGCACACCTACCTGGAACTAAGCTCCACTAAACACAACAAGACATGCAATTCTATATATACTTGCTTGGAAGCAAGACAGATCTAACACAGTGCCATGTGTCACAAGGTAAACATGCATATAGGATGGGGTGCTGAGCTAATCTAAGACCACATTGTTTTTATCATCACATCCTTCAAGGAATTTAAAGTAGGATTTTGACTTCAAAAAAGCCTTACAATTTCAGGTATAAGTGTACGTACATAGTGTGTAAGACGATGGATCACTTTTTCTATTATCATCTTTTTATTTATCAGTTCTTCTTCAGAATCTATTTCTGATTCAATTTCCTTTAAATACCAGTTGATAAGTTCACTCTTTTTTAAGGAGGCGTCATCATCTTCTGCAGGAAGAAAAGAAAGCAAGGTGATGATGATGATAAAACACTCTGAAATCCCAGACTGACCGCCTCAAAAATGTTTCAAAAATGATTCAGGAAGTCAAGACACCATATAAGGAAAATGCTTGCCAGCAGCATAGAAGGGGAGCTGGACTTTGTTTATTATTTACAGCTAAGACCTTCCAATCCAAGATTCATATTTTTTGGGGGGTGGGGGGAAGAGCAGAGGGGAACTGAACTTGCTTATCCAAATTGCTGAATTGAGCCCCAAATCAAATTTGGCAGGCTGTCCGCAACCCTACTTCCTCCCCCCACTCTTGCTACAGTTAGCATTAGGGGGAAATCTTCTTGTAATGGTAAGTCGGAGGGTGGGAGAAGATGATTTCATGGGGACTGTAGCTGGGGAGGGATGGCTTAAACCACTTAACCCCACACGCTGCAATTCTGAGACCTTCCCAGTGGCTTGCACTTGGATTTCAAAGAACATGCAATGTGATTACTAAGCATGTACTTAATTCCGCATGCACCAAGACAACGATTTCTTACCTTCTTCCGATTTTCTCAGATGCATTACAATGAGGTTTGAGATTCGGCGATATTCAGGGAAACTAAGCCTTAGGGAAGCCTTTGGTGCCACATCCTTGCTCAAATCATCTGCATGTCCATTGATGCCGTTCACCAAGCCATTAACGACTGCAGTGTCTCCATCTCCTGAGCACAGAAAGTTTTGTACACATTATGCCAAGGTGGAGACAGAAGCCGCAGTAGAAGCACATCACGAATGACTTAATTGCCTGTTCCCCGCCCTCCACCCAGAACAAACATTTTGAAAGTGTAGCAGCTCATATCAAATGATGTTATCTATATTTTCTAGGTGACTGAGATTTTATGGAGTCTTCCAAACAGATACCTTATCATTTTCAGTTCTGTAGCCATAAGGATTTCAGGGCATAGTTCTTATTTTCAAAACAATAAATATGAAATATATGATGTCTTGTTATCTTGATTAGACCAATGCACATTATTGACTGATTTACAGCTCCATAAGATACATATCTGCTCAGAGTTAAGCCCTACTGACTTCAATGGGAGTTACTCCTTGGTAACAGATTACACGATTGTGGTTTAAAGCTTATATATTGGGTCCACAGAAAGGTTCTCTTAGTAGTCCACACTAAGTCCACCACATATAAAATAAAGAACAAAGAACAAAATGCCTTCTATTTTTATTTTTTTAAACAAAACAGGTTTCAAATAAAAATCCAATTCATTTAAAAGCTTTTTGGTGGACTAAATACTTGTTGAGAAGATGCCAAGCAGGGAATGCCAAGCAAGAGCTCCACCACTAAAAAGGTTCCACTTGAGATCTTAAACCTACTGGCTTAAGGCAAATGCACACACTGCTAAAAGATTCTCTGCTCCACTCTGCCTCCTGTTGCTGCTGCACCGTCAAGAAAACAAGCCAGAGCCTGACTTGTCATGAAGTCTGAACCTGAGCGTTTAGTTTTTCTCCTTCAAAACAAACCATGAGCAATAAAGCCAGGAAGAAATTTTGGTTTTCTACATGTTAGCTTGTTTTTAACCATGCTTCAAGAGTACTGGAAGAAATTATAATATAATATAATATATATAATATAATATAATATAATATAATATAATATAATATAATATAATATAATATAATATAATATTATAATATAATATAATATAATATAATATATATATATATATATATACACACACACACATCTATCTATCTATCTATCTATCTATCTATCTATCTATCTATCTATCTATCTATATCTCCCCTTCAGATAGGCAGAACCCTAGGCTATGCAAGGCTTCAAAGGACAAAACTACAACCTGAACTAGACCCAGAAACAAGCAATTTCCAAGAATTATTTTATTATTAAGAGGTTTATTTTGTGACCTTTATCGTAACAGCTTTCAATGAGGCTATCAGGTAAAAACATTTGTCAGGTGTTCCCCAACCTGGTGCCTTCTGAATGTTCTGGATCACAGCTTCCAACAGCCTCAGCCGGAATGACCAATGACCAGTGACAATAGGTGCTGTATTATAAAACATTCTAGAGGGCATCACAGGTTGTGGAAGTCTGGTATAGTCTATAGTTCATCAGCAAATTACTCACTCTGAGCTCCATCCTGGGCCTCAGACTCATCAATGGCTTGTTCTTCATCTTGGTCTAAATTGATATCTGGAGTTTCAACTCTGATGATGGATTTGTTCAATAACCTGAAGGCTTCCTTCACATGTTTTGGATGGACCTTTACAAATATTTAAGAAGAGACAAGATGAATAAAGAAATACCTGTCCAAACACACATTCTTTATTTATAAAAAAAAAGTACATCCATGAATTCGTATTAAAAAAATCCAAGGCCGTATACAACAAAATATACACGTGAAATAATTTACAGACAATACAATTGATGGGCTCCAAAACACCTCTTGGCCATAGAAGCAACAAGAGTACTTTCCAACTTGTCCCCCTTCCCTGTGCTAAGGAGGAAGGCTCCACTAACACTGGATTCACAGTCAAAAGCCAGACACCACCAACTTCTATAAATGAAGAATGCTGAAGAGGTACAGTTCATAAAGTTGTTGTCTTTTACTTAACTCTCTTTCTCTCTCTGAAAGACTGAAGGCTTGTGGGCAACACAAAAACTTGCAACTAGTCTAAAATTTCAGCTAAAAATTTCTCAGGGATAAGCATTTCCACCCCTATGTAGAAACATAAGTTGGCACTGGACTATTTACAAACTGAACACGTAACATTCATATAAAAGATTTTAATTTCAAGCGACAGTACAGTGGTGCCTCGCAAGACGAAATTAATTCGTTCCGCAAGTTTTTTCTTCTTGCGAGTTTTTCGTCTTGCGAAGCACGGTTTCCCATAGGAATGCATTGAAAATCAATCAATGCGTTCCTATGGAAACCGCCTTCAGACCAGGTCCGGGGACAGTCTGTCCCCCGACCTCTTCTGAAGGCGGGGGGGGGGGGGACAAGGGCTTTTCTTCCCACCGCCAGCCTTCAGAAGGCTGTTCTGAAGGCTGGCGGTGGGAAGAAAAGCCCTTCTCCCCACCTCCCGCCCTGCAAGCTCCGGGGACAGGAGGGCTTTGCTGCCGACCGCCAGCATTTTAAAAGCCCCCGGGACAGCGGAGACTTCTCCACTGTCCCGGGGGCTTTTAAAATGCTGGGGGTCCAGGACCTCTTCTGAAGGCCGGCGGTAGGCGAAAGTCTTTGCTCCCGACGGCCAGCATTTTAAAAGCGGTCCGGGATAGCGGGAAAGCGCAGCGCAATTCCCTGCTATCCCGGACCGCTTTTAAAATGCTGGCGGTGGGGAGCAAAGCCTTTCGGCCCCCGCCGGCCTTCCTGGACCTCTTCTGAAGGCCGGAGGGGGGCGAAAGGCTTTGCTCCCCAC